GTTTAAGTTGATCGATTGTATCAACTCCTTGTTTGGTACTATTATAAAACAATATTATATCAGGTTTCCCAGTAGCATTGTCACCCTTAACATCATTGTGCATTGCTTAAAGAAGTGTGACACATTTATTTTTCTTTGGAATGAATTAAACCATTGTCATATTTTGATTAAATGCGAAGTGGCAACTGCCATTAGGAAGGCCTTTAGCATTGGTGAAGCATCCTGGGATGTCTCTCTTTTTCTTTTTTTTTTTTTTTTTCTCCTCTATATGTTCCAACATAGTTCAACCTCTCCCAATAAAGTTCTTTAATGAGGCCAAAATCTGTAAAGTAATTATCAGCGCTGATATTTTCTTTTTAAAATGGCTCAACTAATTACTTAACTACTTTGGATGCCAGTCCAGCTATAGTCTTTTCCATCAGCTCCTTTGCCTGTAGATGGTATTCCATCACAGATATATCCAGCTACAATCCCCAAGAAAAGCCTTTATGCCATATTGATGGGCATCTCCCTCTGAAGGGAATGTGCTGTTCATCGATGCGCAAAAGCTCTGAAGAATTATAGTTCTTTTTGCACTATGAAATGAACAAATTCCATAACATATGGAATGGAGCAAACTTATTCCATACCCTCCTCTTCTGCTGAGTATCTAAGTTATCAAAACAAATGCACTGAGTAATTTCTTCAAGCCATCTTGACATTGTTGCAGCAAAAAACTGGCCTTGACAGAAGTCCATCTTTCCACATCTCCCTGATGTTTTCATGATTCCCTTTCGACACTTTGGCAGCATATAAGTGACCAAGATAAGTTCTGTCACTGTAAGAGCATGCCAGTCTGTTTTCTTTCATTTCCACCATAACTTGTCTGTCTAATTTACAATCATTTCAATAATGTCAGAGGTCAAAGAAAGATCCAAAGCATCTTCTTTAGTTTTCACTGTCAATGTGAGTCTTTGATTACCACTAAAAACATTCGCACCACAAGTTTTTGAAGACCCATGTGGAACACTCGACCACTTTCTCCCAGATCAAGTTGAATAGCAACTTTCATGAACTGAAACACGATCATGATTTAAATCTACACCATCCACAATGTCACCATCTTTGTCACCTGACATCTCAGCAAAGTCTTCAAGCTCACCATCATCGAAAGATTCATCTTCAATCGTCTGTATAAGACAATTGGCTGCTTCCTGTGCCAAATTTCTTCAGTCTTTAGCTTCCATCATCTAATGTTCAAAACGAAATTAGTGAAATAAGTGAGTGGTGTCAAAATTAGTTTTTGGTGAAAAAGGAAATGGTGTCCTCGCTCTATGGGAAACTAACTCTTGTTATCGGTAATATGTACATGGAAAAAAAAAAAAAAAAAAAGTAAGCACTTTCTCAGCTAACGCAGAGATACAAAATAATTTAAGCGCCCAAGTTGGGTCCCTCTATGCATAATTACATATATTTTAATATCAATTTTGTAATAACATTTTGGTAACTTCAAAAATAAGCTGGATAGATAATTTTTAAGGAATACCTGGAAAATGACCCAAAACCATGTACAATGTGATACAAATAGTTTACAATTCATCAGTTTGGGGTCCTCAAGGGCTTTGTATCAGCATTTAAGGGTTAATGCCATGTCCGCAATGACAGCTTTTTCTTTTTTTTTTTTTTTTATTGGTCTCACCCCCATGCAATGCAGTAAAGTCGCTAAGACACAGGGGCTTACAGGGTGTGAAAGAATTAGGAACAGAAACATTAGTAATAAGCTGTGACAAAAGACATGACTTACCTCAAAGTTCAAAATGGGTGTGAACATGTCTTGCCTGCAAAGTAACAAGGAAAAGAAATATCGCTGCTATCGAAGACACAATTTATGTGTGCCGATCTCGTCCAAAACACGAAGATATTCGCACACATGCAAATTTCTGCCATATCAGAGACAGGCATAAAAAGCAAGATGCCAGCAGCACAACTTGAAGGGGTTCGGATCATTCGGCGGACTTCCAGTTGGACGTACGAATTGACTGATGGACAAAGAAGTCGTGGAAGTAGGCGCAGCTGAGTTGGTGTCTGTTTCACGAATGCCTGGTGTAACGGCTGAGAAAGGGAGTCTCGCAATCCATTTCCTTGAGGCAACCGACGACAAAGGAAGAACATCTGGTCTGCCAGCGAACGGCGCACTGCACTTTCTGACCCCCTCTCGTCATTTTCTTCTTTTTGTTTACTACATAAGCAGGAAGAGGAAAAAAAAGTAATCAGGATGACAATAGGTAGGGGTTGAGATTGCATTTAAATTTTTGCAGATTAAAGTTGGTTGGAAACCATGGAGCTGAAAGGGATTTCCACAAGCAAGAAGTGCGAGAAAAGAAACTGTTTGCATAGAACTTCTGGTTACATCTAGCCAGCTCAACTGTAAATTGATGAAATCTCAATGCCAGTCTAGTACTATGCTTAAATTCAAAAAGCCTAAATACCATAGTGAATAGCTCATCTGAACAATTGCCATGAAAGTATTTATAGAAAAGAAACAGCCAACCTCATGGCAGTTGGCAAGTGTCTGAAACTGAGCTGCAAGATCAGGACCAATAATATTGCTGATGCTTGTTTGGCTCTTATCAAGGAGCTCAAGGTAAATAGCAAGTACATCAGACCATATGTGGCAATAATTTTCTAAGCATGGACAAATGGTAGACTTATAGATACGTATGATAGATTCTGGAGAGAAAAATTGTCTCATACTACAAAGTGAACCAACTTTCTTAGCAGTTGACCAAGAAATAGATTCAATATAGTCTTTCCACTTCATGTCAGCAGGGAATGTTAGCCTGAGAAGGAACAATGAGACACTTCCGTAAATTTCTTTTCTTCATTATCTGTAAATTGGCATTGGATAGTGGAGGGTTTCCTGTCACCTACTTCATGGTTTTGAATTGAGAGAAAACCTTCCCCTAGACTGCTTGTCCAACAAGACTAGGGAATCCAATCTACCCTCCTATTTTACTTATAGGTAGGTAAAAAAAAAAAAATGGATACATGCCTTTCCCAAGAGTATGCCTGCAACAGACTTGACTGGAAATTGAACTGGGCTCACCAGTTCCAGATTGACACAAACCACAGAATATATATATATATATATATATATATATATATATATATATATATTTGATATTTCAAATTGTCCTCAATCTTTCATCAGAAATAACTGTTTGTTACAAATAAATTAAAATTACTGTTTGTTGGCAAGTAACGTCAGTCATGAGACGCAGACTTCATGTGATATGGAACGTCACTGTTCGGATATCACGTCACAAGAGGCACAAGATTTGAAAGCATCTTTCTTTTTTCTCTTTGACTTTCAAAGTGACAACATGTCTCTTCTCGCTCCAATAGCTTTCTTTATTATTCAATGATCACTGCAAAGTCCTTTTGATATCTCCAATGTGGACATTCCCTCACTCAATAACTTTATTTTCTGTTTTACAGAGGTCTTAAGCTAATACTAGTTTAATCTGCATAATAACTTCAGTCAGTCTATTTTCGTAAATTCCAAATCTCTTGAAAATTAACCATTGAAAATGTCAAAAAATTTAATTAAATGTTTTTACTAAGGGTGGAAATGGAAGAGTTTAAATTTGACAAATATTGGTTCAGAACTTTTTATTGAAGTTTATTTGATTTGCAGAAAAACTTCAGACGGACTGTAGTCATAACTAGTAAACCAGTTATTATTATTATGAATTAGCTTTGCAGACAAAGATTTCAGAAGATATTTTGTATCTTTTTCAGGTTTTCCATTGGATTGCAAGGCTCATACAACAAAAGCATGTATACCAATGGCCAACATTAAAGCTTTATTTATTTTATTAGATAAATCATTATCAGCAGTTAATTTTGATTCCTATTGTCTTTCATCTAATAGTTTTAAATATTTCATTTAATAAGAAATAAATAGTACTGCTGTTGCTATTATTACGATGAGTGTAAAACTAAAAATAAACTTGGCACAGAGAGGGAAAGGGATCATGGAGTAGAGTAAAAAGTTAAATATGAACTTCTGCAAAGCCATGAAGTTCTCATAGCGTAGTGGTTAAAGCAGCTGGTTTGTTCAACTCTGCTTCCCTGAGGCAAAAAGGGTAGGAGTTTAAATATTACCGAGAGAGCATATCTTTTATTTCTAAGCTTATGTTGTATATTCATTGCTATAGATTGACAGCCTGAGTGAAAGTTGTGATAAAAAGCAGCTAAAAGTTAATATTACTACCAGTAAATAAAAAAAAAATGGACTTTTTACATTTTTTTCTCTCCTTTTTCATACATCTTTTTTTTCTCTCCTTTTTTCGTACATCTGTTTTTTTCTCTCCTTTTTTCGTACATCTTTTTTTTCTCTCCTTTTTTCGTACATCTGTTTTTTTCTCTCCTTTTTTCGTACATCTTTTTTTCTCTCCTTTTTTCGTACATCTTTTTTTTCTCCTTTTTTCTTTTTTTTTCTCTCCTTTTTCGTTTTTTTTCTCCTTTTTTTGTACATCTTTTTTTTCTTTTTTCGTACATCTTTTTTCTTTTTTTCGTACATCTTTTTCTCTCTTTTTTTCGTACATCTTTTTTCTCTTTTTCCTTTTTTCTCTTTTTTCATCTTTTTTTTTCTCTCCTTTTTCGTACATCTTTTTTTCTCTCTTTTCGTCATTTTTTTTCTTTTTTCGCACATCTTTTTTTTTTCTCTCTCCTTTGTCGTACATCTTTTTTTCTCTCTCCTTTGTCGTACATCTTTTTTTTCTCTCTTTGTCGTAAATACATCTTTTTTTTTTCTCTCTCCTTTTTCGTACATCTTTTTTTTTTCTCTCCTTTTTCGTACATCTTTTTTTTTTCTCTCTCCTTTTTCGTACATCTTTTTTTTTTCTCTCTCCTTTTCGTACATCTTTTTTTTTTCTCTCCTTTTTCATATATTGTTTCCATTTTTCTAACCAGTGATGTACTCTCCTTACACAATTTTTTTTTTTCTTTAAATTCAGGAAAGTATGCAACAAATATCCGAACCGGTGATTCTGGATATCTTTTTAATGAATGGACACAAAATCTCGGTGAATATTACGTCAACGGATCAAACGGAAGATGTGTTAGAAGTGAGTAATGATAATTTTTTTGATGGCTCAGAAAATATCTGATAACATTTTTTTTTTTTTTTTAATTCTACAAGAAGTTTATTTCTTGTATGTATTCCTCTTCTATTTATGTTTTAATTTATTTCTTGTTGCAGAAACAAAAACAAGATGGGTTCCATTTTTTTCATGAATTATTTAGACATGTATTTTCATCTTTGTTTCAATCACAGCATTTTAATTAAAACAACAAATATAAGGATACTCATCTAAGTAGAGGAGAAAATTATCTTCTCTATAAACATTTATAAAATGCAATATGTGCAATATTTTGCATGTAATACTTTTCACAGTTCACAGCTACTTCACTCTGATCTAGTATTCACTTGCCTCTCTATGGTGGTACACTGTGACACAAGGTCGGTTTAATATGGGATACCTGTGGGCCAAGAACAGAAATTGTCCAGTCCCTGTGACCTCTCCACCAGCCCTCCTTCTTTTCGTGCAATGAGGGAGGTGCTGCTTCATGGTTGGAATCTCCAGGATCAGGTGTATTCCCCATTAATTAAAAGAACATATACTACCAAAGACCAGGAAAAGGTAGTTTGATTTCATTTTAGGGTGTGACCAATAGTGGCATCTTACTGGTTTTCACAAACTGATTCTTAAATTTATAAAAGGTTAGTGAACTGGTTGTTGGATTATCCCAAATTAATCTGATATATTAATAGCCGATATATAATAGCTAAAAATACAGTTAATTCCATTGCTGTAAGTTCTGTGGAAGCTGAAAGAGGGTTTTTTATGATGAACATAATTTCTTTTTACAAAAGAAAGCGTCTTCAAGTTAAAAATATGGCAAATCTCGTAGTCATAGGTCTTCTATTAAATCTTTGGGATTGCAGCATTTCAGTTTGAATGTGGACAAGAAACCATAACACGGCTGATAACACTAGAGCAAAAAAAGACATCCTACTTCTGAACCGAAATATGATAGGAACAGAATTTCAGTGTGGAAATATCTGAATAAATCATGTTTTCTATTAAATTATCAAAATGGTTTCATTCTTTTTGTTACTATAAAACAGTGTTTCTCAACCGGTGCACCCTGAAAGGTTGTCAGGTGAGCCCTGAAGTTAACAGAAGAGTAATTTGTGAATTATTTTTATATTTAAAAAAAATCATTATTTTTAAAAAGTTACAGACACCAAGCAATGTAATGTCTTTAAAAATAAAGATTTATTTCTGGCGACTTCTTTATTATTTTCCTATTTTCAAATTTTGTCAACAATTTTACCTTACTAAAATTTAAAGTGCACCCCAGAGTTTTTGTTATTCGAAAAGTGTTCCCTGAAGTGAAAAAGTTTGAGAAACATTGCTATAAAGTGATTTGTTTCCATTTTCAGATTGAAAAGAAAAATAAGCAAAATAGGTTTCTTACAATTACCTATCTTTATAGAACTGGTTCCTGGAAATTTTCGATGCCATTATTGGATGTAACACAAGGTCAATTTAATATGGGATGCCCATGTACATATATGTAAACCAAGGACAAAAATAACGTAGCCCCCACAACCAGTGTGATAGTGATGTCGGTATCCTCCCTCTTTAGTGCAACGAGGAAGGTGCAGAGTTAGAAATATTCTGGGACTAGCATCCTTCATGACTTTGAGGAAGTTAGAACAGATTCTACACCTTGATCCCAGCCAGAAAGCCAAGTAAAGAGGCACTGATCCTGTATTTAGACACCTCTCCACAGTAGCCAGATATGGCACAAGGTCGTTTTTAATGTGAAACATACATATAAGCCAAAGACAAAAAATTGCCCACTCCTACAACCGCTGTCATGCTGACATCAATATCCATCAACTCCTTTTCTCTCTCTCTCTCTCTCTCTCTCTCTGGTGCAATGAAGGAGGTACTGCTGCAGGATTGGAATTCCTGCAACCAGACATCCCTCAAAGTTTTTTCATAAGCTGCTTGAAGGCAGAAATATAGAAGAAAAGAGAACAAATACTACTCTCTGATGTATTTGTGAAACTCTCCGCAAAGATAGGATGCACCACAATGATGATTTTTAATGCAGGATGACATACATAGAGGCCAAAGGCCAAGGACAAAGATGACCTCTTCACTGTAATCACTGTCACACTGACATTAGTGTCTGCCAATCCACTCTCTTTAGTGTAATGTAGAAGGTATTGCCACAGGGCTGGAATCCCTGAAACCAGGATTCCCTCATAACTTTAAGAGGAAGAGAGAATAAACACTACACTCTGATCCCAGACCTAAGGCCAGGCAGCGTGAGCACTGGTCCTAGGGAGTGGGTTGGGAAGTGATACTCTATTCCTAAGCTGCAGTACTGATCCATATGGAAATAAATCAATTATTATGCTACTTACAGTCCTATTTCTATTTCTTTGAGGCAAATTCATTCAGTATAGCTGTTGATTTGCATGGTGTGTTGTCAAGGTGATCTGTTAAAAGAATTTTCAGACATTCTGTATTAAATTATTCTTTTAAGGAAAAAAAAATGGCACCCTACTTCAGAGGTTTCTGTTAGTATTTTTTTTTTTTTTTTTGTATTATTTGTTTGCGAAAAAATTGAAAAGATGAAGAGAATATAAAGTATACAGAGACAAGGAATAAAAGCAAAAAGAAATATGTTTCCAAAGAAATGAATGTGTAAGGCAAAAGGGCTCGTCATTCTTGAATAACTTCCACAATTCTGTTAATCATTAATAATGATTCTTTCTCATATGCAGCATATCTTCATTCAAGCATGTTTGGTAGAATAATCTGAACATATTAAGTCTATTTTTTATTTTAATTATATATATATATATATATATATATATATATATATATAAATTAATTGATTTAAAATATGTTTTTTTTTTTTCTACACAGTTCCAACCATGTTTCAAAAATAGACTAAAACCCCGAATTTAATTTTGCGATTAAATTAAAAGCATTAGTTCCATTTCAGTACGCCAAAATTAAGCTGAAGATGAAATGGAACTAATAGCTTCTAATTTAATTGCAAAATTAAATTCGTTTCTATTTTTGAAACATGGTTGAACTTTAGCGAAAAAAACATATTTTAAATCAATTAATTTATAATATTAATGCTCTGTAAATTTACATTGAGCACTATTTTGTAAAAATAAAAATATCTATAAGAACACCGGATTATATATCTTACTGTTCTTTGTTTTTATTTATATATATATATATATATATATATATATATATAGTTTTTATTTTCCCAACTACTTTCAATCTCACTCCAGACCATCTTCAGGGGTTGAATTTCTAAGACAAAAAATTAATCAAAGTTATATGTGAACCTTGTAACATTCCCAAAAATCTTAGCCGCTATGTAAGGGAGGTAACTCAACTATTTAATTCATATTAGAATCATGGTGTTTTTTTTGTTGCTTTTTGTTTTTCATGTTTTTTTTGGGGGGGTTGTCTTAGAAATTCAGAGGTAGCACTGCTCTTTCTAGCTATAGAATGTTGTTAGCAGTGGAAGCGTTATCACATGAAAACACTGTTAAAAGGCAGACTGTACAACAGAGTTGGAGAAGACTGTAATTTGTTCCTAAGTGCTGATGGCCATATGTAGGCATAGGAATAAGTTTTTAATTTGAAACATACATCCAGGATAATGGAAACCTGACATCCTGGGATTATCAAAGTCAGATTATAGCAGTTAGTCCCATGTTTTATCTGATTGACTGTTGTGTTACTGCTTGAAACTGAGTGGTGGATTTTGATTGCCATCTTAATATTATTGTATTATTATTATTAATATTATTATCATTATTGTATTATATTTAAGCTCTGTTGACTTTGACGTTGAGTCCTCAGTTTATTTTATAATTTAAGATTCAACTTGTATTTCATTATTTGTGTATGTGCATGGTTAGATAAATGAAATAACTAGCTATTAGCAACCGTATAAGCACATGCTTGCATGCATACACAGGTAAGCAAATAAATAACTATCAAATTTTTCCAAGAGGTGCAGACATGATAATGCTTAATTAGACAGAGCTCAGAAATGTATATTAATAAATATACATATACCTACGTTTGGTGTGTGATTTAAGTTTTGTTCTTTTTCCAACTCATCGGGCAAAAGATACTTATACAGAATATTAATTAAATAGAGGAAATTTTTAAAATAAGTAAATAAAAGAACAAAAAGAATATCTGTATTAAACTCGTATTAAATAATTATTATATGATTTATTTTTTTAAATATAGAATTATAAAAAATAGAAGTATAAAAATAATAATTAAATAAAAATAGCAAGAAACTAAATAGATAAATAAAACCAAATTAGTACAATATGAATGGATTATAAATAAGATTATATAAAATATAGATTAAATTATATGTATTAATATAGATTATGAATAAAAATTAGATTAAAATTAAATGAGGCCCTTAAAATTTAACATTTAAAGAGCTCTCTAAAAAGGAAACTACAATATTACTACAGACATAAACTTAATTTAATAAACGCTCAGTAGTAATTAAAAAGAAGGTAATTAAAAGTTAAAAATAATTAAAACTATGATTACAAGTGGGGGGGTCCATACTAAAATTTTCGTTGACACGATTGAATTTGTTTAGAACATATTTGTTGTGGGAGTCAATTATTTTTAACATGTTCTTTGTACATGAATAGCTTATTTTAACGGTTTTTCTATTAAAGATCTTACTTAAAAGGTTGTTATTCTGGAAGTGTTTATTTATAAGTTTCAAGAAAACCTGTCCAGTATTAATTCTGTATAACCCTACAGAAGGCGGGGCGGGGTGAACCATATAATATTCCTTTTCCTATCTTTGTACATCCTATTTCTCTTGCCCTCACCATTGTTATTTATGGGGTTTGAGAAAGCTAGTTTATTAATAAATCCACTTTTTTTAGAGAGCATTTTCATATAATACTTTATTTTTATTAAAGATACTCTTATTAGATGATAGTATAATAATTCTAGAATTAACAGTAATTAGTATTTGCTTCAAGATAATATAGGGGTAGTTAGAATCAATGTTGTTAGGAGTCTCATGTTCCTTATCGTAAGGTTTAAATGTATTAGTATTCAGGTCAAGTGTGATGTCTAGATAATCAACTATTTTAATATTGGAAGTAATTTCTATCTTAAATCCCAGTAGTTTGAATGTTCCAATAATTTTTTTCTGTAATAAGTCCATCATCTCTATATAGACCTACTAGTTTAGGTTCAACAACCCTACTAAGGATCTCCAAAATATTAATACAAACAAGATCTGCAACTTAGACAGAATCATATATCCCCATCAGAACGTCAAAGTTGCAACTCCCACACTTAATCCAGGTAGAGTCATTAAGTGATAGGATTGACTTCCTGGCAGCAAATATGATATTGATTTCATCATTGGTTATCATTATATGGTTCTTAGCAAAATTTATGCAGTCAGTTTATAAATCTCTTGAAATAGAGTAAATAAAAATCAATGATATTGAATTTTATAAACGTTGCTCTTTTTCTATCCTTCATATTATTAAACCATTTGATGGTATCCGATGAATCTTTTCAAAGATTGGCACCAGTTGAGATTAATAGTTTGTTGGTTATTTTTTTAATCATATTTTTTGAAATTATACCAAGCTCAGATTTAGTGGGATTAATTAATTGAGATTGAGTGTTATAAACCTAATTTCTCAAATATTTTACTGAATCAAAGAAATAAATTGGTTTTCAAATCTCAACATAGAAGTAAATTCAAACTAATATAATACATTTTCAACCTCGGACAATTCATTATCATTTACCACATATTGTTTCTTTTTCTTTCCTGATCATTCCTTTCAAATTACCTTCTTCCTATCTGTTTTTTAGTTGATAATTCTTGGTATCAAGTTAGGTTTATGTAATACTCTTTTAAATTTGTTTACACCATATAATAACATTTTTTAAATAAGGTTTTCTTAAAAAAATAGTTTTAATTGTTTTATTTTTATTTTTAATTTTTAATAGCCTTCTTTTTAATTACTACTGATCGTTTATTAAATTAAGTTTATGTCTATAATAATATTGTAGTTTCCTTCCTTAAAGAACTCATTAAATGTTAAATTTTAAGGGCCTCTTTAAATTTTAATCTAATTTTTATCCATAATCTATATTAATAGATAATTTAATCTATATTTTATATAATCTTATTTATAATTAATTCATATTGTACTAATTTTGCTTTATTTATCTATTTAGCTTCTTGTTATTTATTTGTTTATTATTTTTTTACTTCTATTTTCTATAAGTTTATATTTAAAAATTCATATAATAATCATTTAATACAAGTTTAATACAAATATTCTCTTGTTCTTTTATTTATTTATATCTTTTTTAAAATATTTTATCTATTATTTAATTGATATTAATGTTCTATGTCCTACATACTAAAAGTTTTTTTTTAATTAAACTTTTTTAATTAGCATTTGGTATAAAATTTTTATTTTAAAATTGTATTATATATATTATTAAAATTTCCTTAATGTTATCTAAGAAAAAAAAAAAAAAACTTTTCTAAATTTTTAAAGATTTTATTTCTTTATGTAATTTCTCATTTTGAACAAGAGTTAGCATGTTAAATATAGGTCAAGGTCAGACCATGTCTAGACAAATTTGAAAATTTTTCATCTTAATTTCTCTGCTTTAATCATTTACTCTATCCACCTCCCAAATTTCTTCTCTTTTTTTCTCTCTTTATCTTTCTCTTCACCCCTCCCTTATGTGCATTTCCTTCCACTTTCTTATTATTTACAAAAACATTATGAGTCATTCTTTTATCTAACACCTTGGTGTTGACAAGCCTGTTCTGGGTGAAATGGCCATATATCATATGGGGGTATTGAATTTTATTTACATGTAATTTTTATATATATATATGTGTGTGTGTAAATTCAATTTAAATAGAAAACAGACAATCTTAAGGGTCCATTGGTTATAATTTATGGTATATGGTTTTTACCTTGTTCATCAGACCACTATCTCACCTTACACAGGATGTCCAAAAAATTTTGTCGCTCTTTAAATGACAATAGATGCAGTGTTTATTGACTTGCAATCAAAATTGATATTTATTGAGTTAAAAAGATTAACTGTTTAAATTAAACATTAAATAAAATTAAATCCATGTTTATAAATATTCAAATTAACTCCAGTCAAAATGTGAGTACATATTTTTGGGGACATGTTTTGTTTTTGCATTTTCTCTCTCTTTTGCTTTAATTAGGTACAGACAACGATGCCTTCAGACGTTAGAAGCAGAAACCATAATCACTTTAAGCATTTCTGTTGCTTAACCGATATGAATGCATAATAAAATTTTATTTATTTATTTTTCAGGCTGTTGCTTCACAGATTGAAATACCTGAAGAGCATGTTTATTATTTTGGTATCTACTTAGTTAAAAAGGAAGATGATGGTGACAATTGTAGTAAGTGTTTTATTTTTGTTTTTTTGTTTCCTTTTATTATTTCACTGTTGTATCACAAAATGGCTTCCACACATAGACTTTGGGAAAAACATGCACATTAATTCTCACTGTCACAAAATCTGACGTAGATGTGTGAGCATATTGTGTGTGTATATTCACAGCCCAATCCGCTTCTGAAAATAAGCATTCTAATGTTTGATCATTGAAATGCTGATAGATTTTTTTCTGTAGTTTGTCAAGCTGAAAGATTTTCAGCCCTTCCTTGTATGTATAATATATATATTGTGTGTGTGTGTGTGAAAGGATTGATTTGAATTTCAACCTTCTTCCCCACCAAAATTGTCATGATATAGCTAACAAAATATTGTCTATCACAATGACATCACCCAGTTCTTCATAATAACTGAGTCAGTTAAAAGTACTCAAACAAAAACATGGACTTTGGACAATTTATACCAAGTTTTGATCCTGATGTTCAATATCTTATTCTAAAATTGGAAAAATGCAATAAAGAAAATTAAACAATCTAACTTTATTAAGTGAATTTTAAGCAAATTCTTGTAAACTAAATGTTATATATATATATATATATAGAAAAAGTTGCAAATTAATAATATAATGTTTTTTTTATGAAAGTATTTATATATATATTTGATATTTCAGATTGACCTCATTCTTTCTTCAGAAATAAATAAATATCTTTCTGAAGAAAGATTGAGGTCAATCTGAAATATCAAATATATATATATATATATATATATATATATATATATATATATATATGATTGGTATATACGGAATGAATTCCATTAACCAACAAATACTATTCTTAAAAGAGTACTCAATACAAATTGCGACAACAATTTTGACATTTCGATGGGTTCTCTAGATTCTGCGGAAGCTTCTGACCTGGTTGGATTATTTCTTTTGTATAATTTAAGTGCCTTTGATTGTCTAGATTCCGATAGTGTAAGATTGTATAGAGATGATGGGTTATTAGTTAAAAACTCCACTAAAATTAAGGTCGACCGTATTAGGAAAATGATACATAGGGTATTTAAGGATTTAGGTCTTAGAACAATAGTCACTACTAATGTTAAGCAAGTGGATTTTCTAGACGTCACCCTAAACCTTGCTAGCAACTCTTTCCAACCATATGTGAAGGTTAATTCCAACCCGATATACGTACATCCAAATTCCAACCATCCCCCTTCAGTTATCAAACATATACCCTCTTCCATTGAATTTAGAATTAGCGCTAACTCCTCTAACAATAATAAACATAGTGATTTTTACAATTCTGCACTTAAAAATAGTGGATACAAAGATGTCACTATTCAATATAAAAACCCTGTCGATTACAACCATAATAAGAAAAGAAGATCTATAAAGATCATCTGGTTCACTCCCCCTTTCAATATAATGGTTAAATCTAAATTAGGACGTATGTTTCTAAACCTCATCAAGAAACATTTCCCTAACCCAGAAACTAACCCACTTAGTAAAATATTTAATCCTAATACCCTTAAATTAAGCTATAGTTGTGCAGATAACCTAGAGAAAATAATTAAAAAACATAACAACTTAGTCTTTAACAAGTATAGGGACTCAAAAGGCTTGATTACTCAAAAGGTTACTAACAGTGATACTAAGTATAATAACACGAATAATAACTTATGTAATTGTAGGTATCCTAATAATTGTCCACTACAAAATAACTGTGGGATTAATTCTGTAGTCTATCTTAGTACCATCTCAACTATTGAGAATCCAAATATAAAAAAGTTTTACATTGGTAGCACAATGAAAACATTCAAAGAATGCTGGCGGGGGCATATGCAATCCTTTAATAACAGTGACTATAGGTACATGACTTCATTATCCAAGTACTTTTGGAATCTAAAAGAAAAGAACAAAACACCTACGGTTAAATGGACATTGATTAAGAAAGCCTGAACATGTAACTCCCTATATTCCCCATGTTACCTATGTCTTAACGAAAAATTTGAAATTATTAGATTTAAAAACAAGGCTGATCTCTTAAATCAAAGATATGAACTAACAGTTAATTGTAAACACCGTTATAAATTTAACTTATTATAGGGGTCGTATACTTTAAATGATAATGATATGTTGCTGCAAGTTAAATAGATTGTAACTTTTATTGCCTGATGGCCAATCTGACGATATAATTGTGTATTGTATAACTACATAGTGTTATTCATTTTTCTGTATATGTGTGTGTATATATATGTATATATATTTGTGTGTAGTTATGTGTGTTTGTATGTTTGTATATTAGTGTATTAATATGTTGCTAGGTTTTGTATATATATATATATATATATATAGGTGTGTGTATGTGTATATATATGTGTGTATATATATATATATATATATATATATATATAAGAAGATAAAAAGGAGAAGAGGGTTAAAAATATTGATGTATATGTATTTGTGTATGTGGGTAGGTGTGTATATATATATATATATATATATATATATATATATATATATATATGTATGTATATATGTTTTTATGTGTGTATATATGTAGGTGTATGTATGTGTAGATGTGTATATATATATGCATGTTTGTGTATGTGTGTATATATATATATGTATATGGATGTATATGTATATATGTGTACTGTTATGCTGTGTACCTAAATTTATATTTACATATATTTCTGTTTGTATGAATGTGTTTATATATGTATGTTAGGAAACATGTATATTTTTGTGTTTGCATGTATATGGATGTATGTCTATGTATGTGTATGTATGTATGTTTTTATATGTGTATTTGGTTGAATGTCATTGTATTTATGTGTATGTAGGTATATATGTGTACTTGTTATTATAGATAGGTATTTTTATATATATATATATATATATATATATATATGTGTTTGTGTATATGTATGTATGTATGTAATATATATATATATATATATATATATATATATGTATATGTATATATACATATATGTGTATGTATTTACTTATGTATGTTTGTGTTTGTATATGTGTATATTGACACCTATTGTATATGAGATTGTGTGTATGTGTGGGTATGGAAATTTGGGTATGTCATTACGGCCACATGAGCTAGTATATGTGTGTATATATGTTTGTATCTGTATATTGCTGTGTGTATATACGTATTTACATGTGAGTATGTGTACATATATGGGTGTATAATTGTGGGTATATATGTGTATGTGTACTTATTATCATGGACATATGTACATATGTATATGTTTATGTATTTATTTGTGTGTATTTCTGTGTATATGTATGTATGTGTGTGTATATATATATATATATATATATATATAATATATGTGTGTGTGTGTATGTGTAAAGAAAAATTATTATATGTGTGTGTGTGTGTATATATATATATATATATATAGGTATGTGTGTGAGGTGGACATCGAAGTTACCTATGGGTGTTGACTTTCACGTCCGATTTTATATTTTTAGATTTACATACACTATTTTAATATATTAAATAATATTATTATTATTTTTTTTTTTTTTTTAATCATTTTTATCTCTGTATATTTGCTCGCTTAAGTTATATTTCAGTAAATGATGAGCATTTATGTCATGATATTTTCAATCGTAAATATTTATTGGTTGTTGTATCCGATTGTCTGGGTCAATGTATGTGGATGTGTGTGCATGTATTTATTATTGTTTATGTGTAGGAAAGTGCATTCACTTTTAATAGTGTATGTATGTACGTGTGCGTTGGTTTCTTTCCCTTCCCCCCACCCTTCCCTTTTTTTTTTTTTTATATGATCGTGGTGATGTTCTCTGTCTCGTCTCCTTTTTTTGTGTGTGTATTTAAATATGTCTGGGTGCTTAGATATTATAATCTGATTGCGTTTGTTTTACGCGTGAGTTTAGGACCCCATTCACACACTCTTAAGATTAAAATGGATACATTGTCAAATGACTGGATATAAAATTAGCTAAAGTAACTTCAATGAAGAAATAAATTGAATAACATATTTCTTCTTTTCTCCTCAGTAAACTTAATAGCGATTAAATTTTGATCTTGAAATTAGAAGTTTTTAATTTTAATATTAAACTTTATCATATAATCTAGTAATTATTGATTAGAATAAATTCTTTTTTAATACTACCCATATTTTAAATATTTGAATAGCTATTATAACATGACTTCGTTGTCAAGCTTTTTGAATTTTCCTATACTGGTATTTTGATTGGTCCATCTAGCTTTTGTAACGTTTTCCCCTTGTGAAGGATTGTTAATTAATTCGAAACTTTTAAAACCATTTATTTTACATTCAACATCATCACTTGATAAGACACTGAGAGTGTTGAAACAAAATGGCTATTTTTGTAGTGATTTTATAACATATTTATGTTATAAATTTTTTAAATAAAAAAGAATTATATATATATATATATATATATATATATATATATATATATATATATATATTATACATAAAAAAAAACATTTTTTAATTTGCAACTTTTCTATATATACATATTAAGAAAGTATGTGTGGCTTCTCATTATATATATATATATATATATATATATATATATATATATATAGTAAAAGTTTGTCACTTAGCTGATTGGTGTTGCCTTCAGCATCCTAACTGTCTACTCTTCGGGGGGATATCAGTAATTTACTGATTATATTTTTTATTTTTTCTGCACTTATAATTGGTGTAAGTTTTTACCATATTTGCTTGTGTTTGCATGTGCATTTGCACATGCAACTATGCATCCATCAATACAGAGTAGAGTAATATTATTTATTTTACGATATTACACTGAAAACATGTAAAAATTGCTACACAGTTGCAGTTGTGTTTTGATGTGTATCAATGCATCTTGTCAGGCGATTGTAAATTACAGGCGAGTGGACTATTTATTTAGATCTAAAAGCAAAATACCACCTCTTTTTATGAAAAAAAAGAAAAAGGGGGTTATAAGGTTTGTGGGATTTACTCTGATCAACCAATCAAATATGACCTATGTTAAATTTAAACTATGCGAAGAATCAAATATTAAAAATTATTTTTTTATGTGTCATGACCCGTAGATTGGCAACTAACAGCAGCCAGACATAAACTAAAGCAGATGCAAATGGTTACATAAGTTATACAAGCTATAAAATGCTGTTTCCTAAGAAATAAAAATGGAGTGGAGAGGTAATTTAACAAAATGCTAAACAAGTTATATGCTTTGTGAATTTCCTACATAAAATTTTTTGTAGTTGATAAATAAATAGCTTCTTTAAGCAACTAGTAAATAATTTAAATATATAGAATTATTTGGTAAATGCAACTGTTGAATAAACATTCTTCATATAAGATGTTAATAACACTAACCAATCAATGTAAAATGTCAAAAATACCAACCAAATACCAATACATCTGTACAAGATGTTACTAATACTACCAAGAGATTAATACAAAATTATATTAAATCCAAATTAATCTTACAGATAGAAAGATAAGCCATATATGTTACAACACAGTACAACTAAAATATAACTAAAAGCATAATCAAATTCCAAAGTTTAACTAAATTGTAAAGTAAACAGTAATCTGTTTATAATTTACTGTTTAATTCACTTCTTTGATTTAATAAGGAATTTTTATTAAATCTGATGATTTCTAATTTTTCATGTAAACACAGGAAACAGGGTTCATATAAACATCTACATGTCCTTACCATTTTTAAAATTTTACATTACACCTTAGAGGTGTAATTATCATCTTTTAAACTCCAAAAATATTTAGAAAGTGATGTATTATTTCTATAAGTACTATTGGTGAAGGCCAAGATATGTTGATACCACCTAATATTGAAAAAAGAATTTAGTACTACCAATATAGAATTTTTCAACTGTTGAATTCTCTATTGTAGAGATAGTACAAAGATAAACAAGAGATTTAGTTAAATATTGGCCAGTATCATTAATAATATTTATCTTGGAGCATGTGTTATGATCCAGATTATTAAATTGGTTTAAAATTTTATTACTGTATAACTTTATAATCTTCTCAAGATTATTGATGCAGATATAACTTAGTTTTAATGTGTTTCTGTTAAATATTTTACTAAGAGGGTTACTTTTAGGAAAATGTTTATTATTGGGGAGTAGGTTTGTTCATTTGTAGGTGTTTGTGTGTGTATGTATATATTTATATATACATGCACATACACACTTATATAGGTGTGTATGTTTAATATTTGTTCATTTATTAATAAATTAATTTAAGTTTATATTATTTCATTTGTTTGTTTATTTAAAGTTTATATTATATTTATTTTATTTGTTTATTTTTAATTAGTGCGTAGATGGCAAAGTAAGTATTTATTTATATGCCTACATTTACCCATTATTTCAGTTTTCTTGTTTAAGAGTTTATTTTAGTTTTTAAAACTAATTATTGCTAATTTTTCCTCTAAACATAATTTACAATTTTTACTATTAACACTGTTTGAAGCTGCTCTTTTTATAATTTCCCATTTGATTTTGGTGGAGATATTGTTTTCTTTTTGGCTCCATATGTATTTTGATAGGATTGTATTATTTGTGTATTTTTTTTCTTTCGACTAACATTTTGTGCTTATAATATCTTCCTTTAAATATTTTTTTCTTATATAAAAAAAAAAAAATTTATGAAAATTTTTTCATCTGTGTTAATGTTATTGGTTACAATAGCTTTGTATATTATGTTATTGATTAGACATTTATTGTTAAGAGGGCAATTTTCTTTGTTTCTGCAGTTACATTTAATGGTGTTATTTTGCTGCATGTTATTTTTATTGGTTTCATTGAGTATTTTTTATATATTTTCTCCATATTATCCATGCAGCTGTAACCAATTTTGATTGTATTTTTGTTCGTAATTTTTGATAATTTGCTGTTTTTAGGGAAGTGTTTGTCAATTATTTTGAAAAATATTTTCCCTACTTTTGTTTTTATTGTATTGTTGGGTTGGGGGCTGAACCAAATTATGTTTCTTTTTCTGTTTTTGTTTAAATTGTTTCTATTTTTGTATTTTAGTTTGTTTCTTAGGGCTGATTAATGTTTTTTTTTTTTTTTTTTTTTTTTTCATTTTCATTGAATATTTTTAGGTGACTAGAATTTATTGAAATTCTTTCATTTCTAGATATGGGTATTTATTTGAATACATTAGGTGGGTGGTTGGAAATTTTGTTAATGTATATATAGGTAAAAAGTGAAATTGTTAGAAAAGTCTGTACAAAAACTTGCTGTAAGAGAAAATAACAAGATTTTGAAAAGCACTGAATGTTTTTATATATTTGTGTGTAATATTTATAATACATGTATTTTTACAGAAAATTAAAATTGTTTTACTTGTAGGTTTTCAGAAAAAGATCATTTTTAAACATTTTCGCTTTTAGCTTTTCAAAGTTTGTAAATGTTTATTTTATATATATATATAGATAGATAATATTAGTGGTAAATATACACATACATATGCAAAATATATATACATAGGTGCATACACATACATGTATATTTTTTGAATAAAAATTCCAAGAGGATAGAATCCAGGTAGAACTTAATGTCCAGGACAGAGTAAGGATATAATAAAAAGGCTTAAACACTAATATTCTATGGTCATAATTTATTCCATTGGAATCGTAAATTGGATCGTATTCATGATTCCAATGAAATAAATTATGACCATGGAATATTAGTGTTTAATCGCATTTTTTTATATATATATATATATATATATATATATATATATATATACACTCATACTACCTGTTGAGACAACTCAAAAAGAGATAACGTTCATAAGACTACTCGAGTTTCACACTGACATAATTTTTTCTTCTCAGTTTGTTTCCTTCCTTTATCGATTTTTTGTTTGGTTTCTTGATTTATCGAGTTTTGGTTTTTATATATATATATATATATATATATATATATATATATATATATATATTTTTTGATTTACTTTATTAAAACAATTTAAAAATGAAAAACTGGTTTATATTTTACCTAATGCCTTTTCAAATGCCTTATTTAAAGAAAAATATTCACTAATTAAGGTTTAATCCTTAATAAATTACTTTTATTCAGTTACAAAAAAAATTATTTTTCTGACCCTGACACTAAGTCAAGCAGTGTTTAGTTGTCCTGTACCCTACAGTATTTGCATAATAGAGTCAAGCGGGGTTGCAGGTTTTGAGACTCCAGATTTCCAGTTCAATTATGGAAGTTTAATGTTGAGGAATTTTTTACATTTCTAATTTTAAAAAAATATTTAGTCCTGGAAACTCTAGTCTGCAGTGAAGAGCCGAAATTCTAGGAAAAGAACTTAAATTTTCCATTTTAACCTATTTTGATTTCTTTGGAGTTAGGAGGGTGGGTATAGTCAGTACCAAAAGGTTAAATAAAAAATTATCCACACTTTTGTTATAACAAATCTTTCTGTCACATTGCTTTCTGCTCATGTGTGTTTATAGTTTGTAACTATTGTGGTCACATGATCAAAATTTGACCTTGATCTTACCAGTTTTCTTGCTGCTCTTACAGTGTAGACATGGCTTCCCTGATAGCAATGTGCATCAAGGAGATTTGTAAATTTTTTCTAGACTATCATAACTTGACAAAGTTCAGACAAAAGTTAGACCAGTTCTAAAATCCTGAGACTGTATATGTTTAAACGTTCTAAAAATGCCAAATGTCTGCTTGTGAATTCACTGTGGAATAGTTGTCTTCATGTGTATTTGGTGGGTGGGGATAGCCAATTGATGTCTGGTCAATAAATACATGTACCTGCTTTGTTTAGAATTTTAAAAACAGTCTGTTATCATAATTCAATTGGACTTATCTCTCACTTATTTTGTTTTTGTTAAAAATGTATATATTACTGGGGGAAAAATTTTTTAGTAAGCCATTGTTTTTGACAATAGTCAACGACCTTCCACCCAGCTTTTGGCCAGGTTTTATTCTGTCCCTCACATGCTGACATTTCTTTTTCAGTTGTACGCAAGTTGCAAGATTTTGAATCCCCTTATATTTCTCTAAAAGCTGCAAAAGGACCCCATCGAATTGTGCTACGTAAAAGGTAAGTTAATTTAACAGGTCATTTAACAGGTTATTTGGTCATGGCTGCCAAAGTAATTTGATCAGATTATTAGAAAGCTGAAAGGAAATATTTGATATGCTGTATTTCCTTGTGCATAATACGAGAAATTTCGAATGAAAATTAAAGGCAAAATGCAGTGTTATATTAACACGTACCCATTTTCATAAATTTTTACTCTGCTTAAAAAAAAACACTTCTTTGAAACTGCTCAATTACAAATACACTCAACACAATTGATAATAAAACACAAATTAGGCAGGTGTTGATAAGTTTTTTAAAAAAAAGGTATTTGATACATCAGCAATATTTGTTCTTTGGAAATCTGCATAACTGAACATGTTTTGTCTCAGACAGGAGGCTTACTGCCAAATCATGTTGAAACACTGGTTTTTGTATGATCACTGAAGTTAAGCAACATCAAGCTTGGTTAGTACCTAGATAGGTGATTGTTTGAGAATATCAACTGTAAACATGGATGTGTGGGTGGTGAGCAGAGTTCCAATTCCAATTGGGTTCGTTATATCCACTTACGTACAAATACCCATGAGAAATGTATGAATCCACCTCTTCTCTCCCCAGCTAAGTATTAATTAGTAAGACTTGTATCACTAAATCATGATATCCCAAAAAAAAAATTCTTACATTCTAAAAATATTTTTTGTCTGTAAATAGCCCGCAAAAAGTTGATAATTCATAAAAAATCATGAAACAATTAATCAAAGACCGGAAACTCGCTGAAAAATGATAAAAAAAAAATTAATGAAGAGAACGCACAAGATCTGTCATGAATGTTACAACAAAGGCTTAACTATTGTATAAATTATGTACCTCTTTTGAGTTTTTTTTACTTGAAAAATTAGGGGAGATAATTCCCATGTTGTGAGGTGGTTCTCTCTCCGTTTGTTGACACAAAGTATCCAGCTTGAAAACTTCAAATGACTTGAGGAAAATAAAACAATATAAAATATATATGTAAAGAACCTCAACAAAATTATCAGCACTTGTAAATTTTAATCACAAAATTTTACAATAATTTATGAGGATACAACATTGAGATTTTAATGGATAATTTGTTAGAACTTTTTAAAAATAATTCACATATGAATGACTGTACTACAGGGTCGTATTATACTCGGGAATGTAATAATTAATTCCCTGTTTTTAACATCAGAAATACAGTCATATTATAATAAAAAAAGATATAGTTGTTGTGGGCAAAATTTTATAGTACCATAATGTGTTGAGATAAAAGTGTACCAACATACAAGATTTTGAGATACAAGCCAGAGTTCAGCCATTTTTTTTTCCCTTGAGATAGGAGCAAAAGTTTCGGTTAAACACGAACTAATTGGTATGGCAAGAGCCAAGCTTCAAGAGCATTTCCACTCACAGTACATGTGTTCACCTCACTCTGGAAGGATCTCACATTTTAGGAAAATAAGAAGCTTGGAGCAGATTAGAAATGTTCCCATTAATTTCAGTGGGGAAAATTGATTTGAGATATGAGCTCATCTTGAAATGAATTAAACTCATATCTCAAGGCATTACTGTAGTTTTATTTCTTGATAAAATGTTATATTTATTGGGTATATGTGTTTGAGGAGACTTTAGTGTATTTTTTGGTGTGGGGTTGGGGTTAACAGTGAAATTAACATCTGCCAGCCTAAAAATCAAAAGTTTTATAAAGAAAATGCACCCCTCAGCACAAATCGAATCTGCAGTCCTTAAAATAAACTTAGCAGATTTAGACATCAAAATGTACCAATAAAAGGTGAGTATTTCTTAAATAGGGCAATTCGATCTTGTTTTGCTGTATCTTACTAGGTGACAGCCTGTTTTTCCCAATTTATTATTGTCGAGCTATCTCTTTTCACAAAACAGCCTTTTCCAGGATTCATGAACAGCCAGCCATTATCATAAGTGCAAAGGGAGATAACTAGTACAGCAAAATTATATGTAAGGCAAAAAAAAAAATTATATAGTAAGTTATTTGTTCATATACTAAATAGGTAATGCAGATTTCATTTTCTAGCATTTTTTAGTATTCGCCATATATCGATTGGAAAGAGTGAATCAAAGCTTTGATGGTTTTCTTTCATCAAAGCCACTTCTCATAATACAAATTGTACAAACACCGTAAATATATGTACAGTAGTCTCCCCTTATCTGCAATGGTTAGATAACAAAACCCTCAGTAAACATCAGAAAATGCAGGTGTGTGTGTGTGTATATATATATATATATATATATATATATATATATAGAGAGAGAGAGAGATAGATATATATATATAGGGAGAAAGTATTGGAGCAGCAGATCATTATTTAAACATATATTATTAAATATAACAGGCAATGAATGTCTATATGTCTGATCATGACCCGTTCAAATCTTTGCTTTAATTTCTGGTGAAAGTAAAGGAAAAAGATTTCTGTGACCATTATCGTTGCACAGCAAATTTCTATGTCAAAATAACAAAATATCATCTTTGACAATGGATATCATTGTTTCATGTCTGTATAAACACTCTGAGGATGGCTCATGTGAGACAAAACTTAGAACCAACTTAATAAAAAATGTCCAAATTTTGGACAATTTTTGTCTTTATTTTCACCAGAAATTAAAGCACACATTCAAACAGCTCATGATCAGACATAATAGCCATTCATTTTCGTTTAGATTTAATAATATATGTTTAAAAATATATAGATAAGGTGATTTTCTAAGCACAGAATGAGATGTGGCTCAAGGCTGAAAGTATGTGGTGCCCAGTGAGGATCAGACTCTCTTCTTAGTTGTAATTGTTCTAGCAAGACAAGCTTGTTAACCATTACACCATGTCAGTGTGCCCTAGGGATTTCCTCAGCATAGCTTAGATGTGGCACAAGGCCAAAAATATGAAGCATCCAGTAAGAATCAATATGTACAGGCAAACACAGAGAATACAGAAAAAAATTTACACCAGTGCTAAATGTGTATAAAAATGAAAAATACCCCCTGAAAAGTGGACGGATAGGTCCATCTATAAAACTCTGGAGTCGGGATGCTGAAGGTAACATCAATCAACTGTGGCAAATTTTACTCATATTAATCATATATATATATATATATATATATATATATATATATATATATATATATATATATATATAGAATTAATGTGAGTAAAGTTTGTCACTTGACTGATTTCTGTTACCTTCCGCATCCCGACTCCAGAGTTTCATAAGCGGATCTGTTCGTCCACTCTTCCCTCATTATTTACAGTAAATTGCTGCTACCTCCCTGAAGAGGTAACGGATACGTCCGTCTACAAAACTCCGGAGTCTGAATTTTGAAGATAGCATCGATTAGATAAGAGACAAACTTTTTACTCATATTAATCCTATCAATGCTCTATCTTTGATGTCGAGCACTTTATTGCAAAGACTGCTTGCCTTAAATGCCTCTTCTCTGAAAGTGTCAGCATTTTTGGCTTTATACTATTTTTGACATTAATATTAGAATTATGATAGGATAAGGCAAAATAGGAAACATTTATAAGTCTAACATGTTTCATTTTTATTAAAGCTTCATCAGAGAATGAAATATGGAAACTGACCTGAGGCAACAACTTTGTGGGTGACAAATTATTTTTCATCCTACAATTCTTTTCCCCCAGATGAAATGTCACACACCTCTCACTGCTCTGTTGCTGAAAGTGTTCCGATGAACTATAGTCCTTAGTTCCACCAGACTGAACCTTCATGGCTAGGACCCACTGTACCATGCCTATTGTAGCAAATCATACTCATTCCCTTCGTATTCCATTGGTGAGATGGAAGTTCAACTCAAGCAGCTTGTTTCTGGGACCACTGATCTGTGGAATTGATTCCCGAGAGGTTTGGATATTTTCCATTTTTCAAGCATTGCTTGGAGGACATCTCTCTTTACACTTATGATAATGGCTGGCTGTTTATGAATCCAGGAAAAGACTGTTTCGTGAAAAGAGCCATAGCATGACAATAGTAAATTGGGAAAAACAGGCAGTTACCCAGTAAGGTACAGCAAATAAGATCAAATTGCACTATTGAAGATAATGGTCATCACACTACAAGCTTCAGCTGTTCAAGTCTAGAATTAAACTTTAGCACTCTGCATTATTAATATTACTTCTCTTTCCACTGCATTCCTTTTTAAAGCTTCCAATTGCAGTATCCATATTGTGTGGTTCAAAAGCTAAAAAAAAATAAAAAAGCTTCTCCCAGGATCTTTCTTGTCCTTCCTCTCAAATCTCCTCCTTCCTTTCTTAACCTTTTTCATATGAAACTAACAAAATCACCAAGTCCTATTTTCAGTCAAGCCTTATAGCTTTTCTTCTTTCCCGTAATTCATCTCTTTTCCCCAGTTTGCCAAAGAATCACCTGTTGCCACTTCTTCTTCTCCTCCAGCATGAGGTAAGCAACATTCGATTTTCTTTTTTTCCTTCATTCAAGCTACAGGTTATCCCCCCCCCCCTGCATGATCCTAAGGGATCATTTCGCACAACATAGTTTTATGCCCAGGTCAATGCTTTGTGCTCTCTGTGTGGTCTTTGTATTGGTGCCATTTCATTTCTATCTCCTCCATGTTCAGTATTCACATCATCGTCTGCAAGGTCCACTCGCCTTAAATCCAAAATATGCCACAACATCTCATCAACAGTCAGGTTGTTAGGTGATTGTATTAACCCCATCACCCCTACAATGTGTTTGGTGGCTTCACCCAAACCTCTTCCCTTATTTGGATTCTGGTTGGCCATTCCTCATTCAGGGATATGTTTCTTGGGTGCCTTCACTCATAGGTGAAAATTGACCTTTCTGCTACTGTCTTCTTTCTCTGTCTCCCCTTAGGCCCCATGTTTTACCAAAATGTCATTTTGATAGGTGATATCTGTTATGGGACCTTACCCATAATAACATAATGGACTATTCCATACGTAATAAATACTGCGCCTCAAGAGGAAGCAGGGGGTTCAGTCTGAAGTCTGGAATGAAGTCTGTCAGTCAGTCAGAGCGAGCGAGTGAGTCAGTCGAGTCAGAGGCAGTCCGAAACAGTCGCGTTCAGACAATTACTACAAGACATTGGAATAGTGATACTGGTCGAGACTACATTGTTCTCCCTACTAAACCTGATTGTTCGTACTAACACTTTCTACTTCTCTGTATATATTCCTGTTTGTAATATATCTGTGTTATTCCATATCCATGTTCGAGTTCTTCTTTATTGGTTCTACCTTGGACTATCACCGTGGTACAAGGAACCGCACCATAACAATATCCCTCCTCTCTTGGCAATTGCATTCAGTCTGATGGTGTGATTCCACTATTCCATTTCCCCAGTGACAGTACGCTGCTCTGTAGTACCTTCTTATTTTCCGTTTTTCAAGCATTGCTTGGAGGAGTTCTGAGTAGAAAATCATTGTCCATTACTGGACCTCATTCAAGAATCGCCTCCTGTTCTTCTACAACCACAGCTGCTGTTTCCACAATCCCCCCTCCATATTACCAGTCACCTAGGTTCACAGTCAACCATCAACATGTACACACCCACTGCGAAAATGTGTTATATTGACAGCTAACCTCATCCAATTGTTGGTAGTTCTAATCAAACCAGGATTATGTACATTCAGGGCAAGGTCAATCAATTGACATCTGGTGCAGTTCTTGACCACCCTCTGGACTTCCACCCTTCCACCTACTGCTTTCATAGTGCCACTACAACTCCATCCGCTTACAAGCTTGGGATTAAGTAAAGTGGTTGTGCAGCCGGTATCAACGACAGCTTCCACTATCACACCACCCACTGACTCTTCTATGAGGTTCGTACTGCGCCTTCATTTGGTTGACAGGATAACTACTGGAGCAGAAGCTCCCCCTTGCTCATATCCCTGGGCTTGAGGGCAATACCTTGCAATATGCCCCAATCTCTCACAATTGTAGCACATTACTTTCAATCTTGGTGATGCCTTACAGTCTCTAATTAGGTGCAATACCCGACATCTATAGTAACTAACACTCGATGATGCCAGATGAATTTTGTTTTCTTTTGGTCCTGTTCTTTGTGCAATAGATGCCACTATTCTGGGTTTCCAAAGTCTTTTGCTAGCCAAGAGCCTTGCAGCTGGTATCATTTGACAGAGGTTTACACCAAGCATTTCTTGCAGCACCACAGATATGTCATCTGGGAAGCCCATCACGAAAGCTAATTTCATCATCTGATCCAGTCCTCTCAACTAGAAATCCTGCCAACCCCACCAACCTTTTGATGTTATTGGTGTAGACATCCACTAATTCTCCAGTCCATTTCACTCTCAAGCTTTTCATAAGTTTCAAAGAACCCTTCAGTGAACACTTTCTTCAGTCTGGTTCCTATCATGTCCTCATCCAAGTGGTCCTTGTCACTTATTTCAAGGGAGAGGACAATCACATCCCCTTGCAGAAAAAGTGGAAGGAAACTAGCAAGGTCTGGAACTTTTTGAAGATTGGCAACCAATTTCACCTTTTTTTATCCACATGTCTTTATCACCTTCTCTGCTAAACAATGGCATCACGTCTCTACCAAATTGCACCATTCCAGACTCCATATTGTCAAAATAGTTTGTGGCTCAAAAGCTTAAAACAAAAATAAAAAAAGCTTCTCTTTCGTCCTTCATCCTCCATCACAACTTTTCTCGTATGAAACAAACAAAATCACTACGTCCTATTTTCAGTTCTTCCTTCCCATAATTTATCTCTTTCCCCAGTCTGCTGCAATATCTTTCTACAAAAGAAATCACCCCTCACCAGTTCTTCTTCCCCACCATGAGGTTAGCGACATTCCATTTTCTCTTCTTCCTTCATTCATAACGGAACACAACTATGAAAATCAAACAAATTCAAATTCAGGGATCAGTGACCTTCAGTGGCAGGCTAGACTTTTTGTACAGCAAATGGAGTCACATACACAGTGATAAACATTAACCATTACCTTCCCCCACATATCTGCATAAACTGTGCCTCTTACTCTTTATACCTCTACCTTAAGTGGCTCGCGGGCCTTGTGCAGGGCGAACATCTCTGTAAGAAAAAAAAAATTGAGGCCCAGGCACTCTTCTCAATTATGCTTATTATGACTATTTTTTGACATTTATGTACAGGATCACTTTCATTGAAGACTAGTAGTAGAGCCCGGCATTGCCCGGGGATGTAACAGTAAAAGATAGATCAAGTATCGACCATCATAAAGACTGAAAAATAAAATTGACAAAGATTATTGTTTAAGGTTGACAGACACGCATGTCTTTGTTAGTTTTTTTTTTTTTTTTTACGAATTGGTCAAACTCAAACAAAAACATTGTTTTCAATTGTTATGAGTCTACCAATTGAATAGAATTTTATTATAAACAATTGCCTTGTAAATAGAATTTTTAAAGCATTCTGAATGTAAAAATAAAGAAAAAAGTGTGCAAGACAATAAGAAACAATACCTGCCAAAAAAAAAAAAAAGTGAAGTTTTGTTGAAATTGGTTGAATAATGTAGGAAATCCGATCCCATATATAAACGAACACACACACACATACAAACAACCTGGGTTTTATAATAAGTATAACTCGATATGAGTTGTCCCCCTTTCATTAATGCCTCTTAATCGTGTTTTCAAATTGATTTCATGCAAAAACAATTGTTTTTCCCATTTTTGGCGCTGTCAGAACCACCGCAGGGTAATTTTATGTAGTCCTGTGAAGTTTTGTTGAAATCGGTTGAAAAATATAGGAAAACCAATCCAATATATAAATGAACAGACACACACACACACACACACACACACACACAACCTGGGTTTTATAATAAGTATGATGAGTCATATTAAAGATATTCATTTTGTATGTAATAATTTCTTTTAATTTTTCTTTTTTTTTTTTTTTTTTTTTTTTAATAGTTACTGGGATTCCTCTTTTGATGATGATTTGTTAAATAACAGAGTGACTATGAATTTGTTATATGTACAGGTAAGTCATTTGGCTTTAATAAGAAATTAAAATAGGTATTTTAACCAATATTTGGACAGTTTATTATTGCCTAATAAGTACTGATTAAATTTGGTTGTTCAAAATGTTAATTTAATTTATTAAAGAAATAAATCGTCCGGTTCACTCTCCTCCTGGTATTTGAACAGGGGTAGAGGTTTATCCCTTGTTTCCTGTTCAGAATTGGGCTTCCAGTTCCTTCTGAAATCTGCTTCAACTCTATATGGCTAATGTCTTCACCTAAACTCTGAAATTTTATTTACTATTTATTTATATATATTCCCAAATAGGAGTAGATACATTCACCTAGCGCCCAGTTCACACACGTCCCTGGTCATTTGAACAAAAGTAGAGGTTTATCCCTTGTTTCCGTTTTAGGATTGGATTTCCGGTTGCTTGTAAGGTCTTTCACTTTCAATATCCCCTTGCATCTTAGTGGCATTATTGGCTTGCTTGGGGTTAATTAATTATTACACACACACACACAAGCATTATATATATATATATATATATATATATATATATATATTCAAATTTACAACATATGCATGTTATAAGATCGCTACAAAACCTGCAATTTTGTTTCGACACTTCTTATAACATCCATATGTTATAAATTTGAATAAATACTATTAGTTCTACTTAGTATTGAGCACTCTTTTAAGAATAGTTTTTTTGGTTATTGGAATTTTATTCCGTTTGTGCCAACCCTGTACTTGTGTGTGTGTGTGTGTGTGTATATATATATATATATATATATATATATATATATATATATATATATAAATATATATGATAAATACATTGATCTCTTTTTGAGGATCAGTTTTAATATTTGATATTACTAGGATCCACTTTGATTATATACCAAATTAATAGTGGTTAGTCAAATGACAAAATTAGAAAAAAAAAATGTTTTGTCTTTAGAAGAAACTTCAGACTAATATTGATTGATTTGTTTTTTACGGCTTATCAACACTTTGTGGGTTAACTGAACACAGAAAATGCCTACTTCTGAGTGCTGGTTTTCCCATTGCTTTTATTGACAAGGGACAGTTGATAGAAACACAGATCAAAATCGAAACTTGTCTAAAGTTGCAGAGAGGCCTGTATCTGAACATGCCAAGCTGTTCTGCAGCTAACTGAGAAAACCAGGTTGTAACTGGTTTTGACAGATATATCTGCATGCAATCCAGGACTTTTTTGCACCATACTTATGCTCATTCACCACAAAGAGGGTTGTAATATGGAAGGTAATCATAACAGCGAATGGTTCATTTCCTCTAAAAATCAAAAGTTAGAAAATCAAAATTACATTATGTATCATTTAAAAAGTTTATTTATGATAATGAATACCTTTACCACATTAATTTCTCACTAATAAGGTTGCTTAATATTTTGTCTTTATTCTAAGAATATTTAAAGACAAGTAGAAAAAGATGAAAAACAAATCCATTTAAATATTTATCCTATCCAAAATACATCTGTCTGAATTTCTGGGATGAGGAGTTATCATTATTTATTACACTATTTACATTCAGACTTATATTTTCATCCTCATTTTTGTTATGCTCTCCACTTCTACATCAGGTGTATAATGATCCAGGTAACCTACAGGGAATTCAGAACAGAACACTTTATTTAATCTACAGGGTAGATTGTTTGCATCCCAAAACTCATGTCTATGGATATCTCATCTAGTTGTTATTTTTAGGTCTATATTAGTGTTGTAACCTAGGAAAAGGTTACTGAATAAGAATAACCAAAACAAAGGTTTGTTGGTTGTTTTGTTTTATGGCATATCAACCTCAAGTGGGCCATTTAATGCCAACAAAATTTTTGTTACTGGTAATATTTTTTTCCTTCATAAATATTTTTGGTAATATTTTTTCCTCAAAAATGTATTGCTGGCAATAATTTTTTTAAAGAAGTATTTCTGGTATTAAAATCTATTTTTACATTTTCATAGTGTTTTGATCCCAGTTTGGGGGTTAACTATTTGCACATAGCTGGGACCCTAACAAGTACTACCACCCCAGGTCAGGGTGGACCTGGGAACACCAGCAATTAAGAGGTGGTTCCACACTCCTCAAAACATTCTGATCAGAGACCTTGCTTTTGGATATAGTTTATTGTCATACCCAGGACAGCGAAAGGTTGGATATGGAACGATAATATTTATAACAGAAAAAAAACATACAAGATTCACCAGTGGTGTGTAGTAAGTACTCAACTGCTAGTGGTGAGCTAGAAGTGAATCAAGATGAATCCCAAGTGGAAGACAACATCCAGTATATACCATTGTATTTATAGGAACTGGAATATACCTATTATCATCCATAGGTACAGTATAACAATTAGGTACCACTGCAGATTTGCAATAACCAAGGTTTAAAATGAATTTTTCAAACTGAAAAATTCCCCTTGAAGCTTTTATTTTATTTTAGTTTTAATTTCAAGCAAGTAGATTAAATTTATTATTTCTAATATGCAAAACACTTTGCTGTATTTAAAATAAATAATAGCAATACCCTTTTATATATATAAAAAAAGACTAACGATCCATTTTATCTGTAGTTGAAGGCATACACTTGCATCCAAAATATATTTAGTTGCAACTATAAGATTGTGTTCAAAATACTGAGAATTCAGCATTAAATAACCCATAGAGATGTTGATATGCCGCTAAACAAAATCAACCAAATCAACATGAAAGAATTCTTTCGTGACATTAATCCATATAATATCCTACATTTTCTTAAAGAAATCAAACTGTATTCCAAAATATAAGTTCATAAAACTACAACATCCATATCATCGCCTCTAGTAATCATCTTCACACAAACAGGTATATGCACAAAAGCTGAGTATCATCTACCATGCATTCAAATGTGAAAGCAGAATAACATATTTTATTACTTCAAAATTTTCAAGAAAATTAAATTTTGGAATCAAATGACCCATAAGGAGTTGATATGCCATTAAACAAATCAATCAATGAATCACCATATTTCTGCTAAATTTCAGTGCATCCTATATGCCATCAAAATATGCTGATTTCATGCCTGCAATGTTGTTTATGGCCTGTTTGTGTTTTTCTACTAATATGTTTGTCTTTAAAGAGGAAAAGTTCTGAATATTTGTTTTGTTTTTATCTTCATCTAAACTCCTCTCCTTCCCTTTTCATCCGAACAGGCTGTGAATGATGTCGAGCGACAATGGGTACTGGCCACCAAAGATCAGTTTATGCAGCTGACTGCTCTGCAACAAAAAGGATCCAAAAGAGACGTACGTTGAGCCTTGACTTCCCTCAACAACAATAAACTCCTTTTTTTCTTTTTCTCCAAATGTTTTTAATTTGTAGTTGGTTGAATCTGCAGACGTAAAGAATTGACTCACACACACAAATTTTCAGTACACATAGCCCTCCACTACTGTCATTCTTGTCTCATTTTGCAGTCATCAAGTGGCAAAATGCGACTATATTTACTTTCATATATGGTTCTTGCTTGCAAAATTGCATGAAATGGACAGTAGCGGAAGAGTTCATGTTTATTATTGTTATTATTATATATTTATGCTCTTTATTTTCTTTTACATTTTACTTTGAACTCTTCCATTTGGCATTTCCTTGGACATCTTATATATAAAATACAGTGTATGTGTGTTTTTGCGTATGTGTGTGTGTCCAAGCAACTCCTCCGCTTCGATTTCAATGATTCATACCTCATTCAAAAGCCTTAGAAAAGTTAGGCGCAGTGAACGATTATTGTGGAGCTCAAATTCAGGGTTGCCAGATTATGCAAGGTTAAAAATATATATTAATATATTATACTAGCCATTATTGTTGCTTTCATGGTTCAAGAGGAGTAACTCTTATTTTCCTTTTGTATCCAAAATTGCATTGCATGTTTTATTATGAACTAGCTTAAAAGCCACCCTATCTGGCAACATTTCTGCTTACTCCTATGGAGGACTCTTGGTTTGGCCATCATCACACTAACTAGGGAAGAATAGATGTGATAGGCAACAATAAACTACAGAATAACTCAAAATTGATCGCTGCATTTCAGTATTGAATTAATGTTTAAGTTTACTTTTTAAAAGTTCAATGATAATTCATCTGCTGCCACTTAATTTAAAGATGATTTGATGTACATAGATGCTTATTTTCCATACAAACAATTACTTTTATTTCATGGGTGACAGAACAAGGGATAATTTATCAGATAAAATTAATATAGTGTAAAGATGGGAAAATAGAATTATTTATACATTCAACATTTGAAGAGTTGGAGAAACATAACAGCTAATCAAGTAAAATCCACATTATGGAATCTATATTCTGAGATTAAAAAGCCCCAGCTCTACTTTAACAGAAGTTCAATAGCGGTATTATATATTATCTACTTCTAGGTGATACCACACTTCAGGTTTAACTAATTTGCATATTGATTTTAAAAAAAAGTATATTTCATTAATTAACTGTCCTTCATTAGTGACCTTTTATTCAAGGATTGTTTTGATTTTCACATATGTGAAAAACAAAACAATCCTTGAATAAAAGGTCACTAATGAAGGACAGTTAATTAATGAAATATACTTTTACTAGTTCTGTTTAGGAATATCGTCTTCTATAGTGCAGAAAAGTGTTTGAAATTTGCATTTTACTTGGCCTTCAACAAGTTGGCATCTATTTGTAAAACTTTTCTTAACTATGACAAGCCATTTTATGAACGAAAAGTTAATTTAAAATTTTTGTTTCAAATAGTGAATATATCTTACTTTGCAAAGTGATAGCATTTTATATGTACTGTGTGTGTGTGTGTGTGTACACTTTAATATTAGGAAAATTAATGATTAAGTGAGAAAAAATTTTTGTGTGAGACATTTCATCCTTGATGACACCATGGGATTAAAATGATGTTTACATTTTAAACTTTTAAATTTATTAATTTTTTTTGTTTATTTTTTTTTTTAGATATGTTTTGGGTATATTAGTTCAGCCAATTTAATTTCTTTTTGTTTATGTTTTTATCCCTTTTGTTATTAATTTTCCCACATTGTGATAATAAATATTTGCCAAGAAAGGTTCAATGTTGTACGAACCTGGACGCCAGTTTTCTTTGGATGATCTAGCGATTAAAGCACTTTCTATACACTCTCGTCTTGGTAGATTGCATTCTCTTTTAATTAAAGTACCATTTTTGAAATAGAAATTATGGCCAGGCTCAATACGGTGAGCAACTATTAAGTTTTTTGTTTCACAAAAGATCCCTTTTCTGTTCTAGGCTTACAGCCACATGACAATGAAACATTGGTTCCCGTAAGATCACCGAAGTTAAGCAACATTGAACCTGGTCAGTGCCTAAATGGGTGACCACTTGGGAATACCAGGTGCTGTAAGCTTGGATGTGCATGTAGTGTAGTGAATAATGGCTCAGAATTGTTAAATGGAGAGCTGAGTTCCAATTCTAGCTGAGTTCATTATATTCGCTTATACACAAATACCCTTGATAAAGATATGAATTCACCCCCCCTTCTCTCCCTACCCCCAGCTATGGGTTAATTATTAAGATTTGTATCACTAAAATTATTATCTCAAAAAAAATAAAATTGGATACAAAGTATTTACATTTCGGCATTAAATAACCCATAGAGATATTGATATGCGGCTGAATAAAATCATCCAACCAACCAGACTTTTGTGTTCTCGCACTTTTAAATATCCCAGATTGTATCTGTCTATATTTCTGAGATGGGGTATTATGTACATTATTTACATTAGTTCAGACTATTGTCCTCATCATTGTCGCCACATTTATTACAACGTTTCGGCCTTTCAGTATCTGTCTATATTTCTGAGATGGGGTATTATGTACATTATTTACATTATTTAGACTATTGTCCTCATCTTTGTCGCCATATTTATTACAACATTTTGGCTGTTGTATGCTCCACGTGCCATGTTTAATGTATGTCAGTTATCTCCTGTTAATTCCCCTCTGAAAGTTCTGCATTGCCATAACCAGGTATTGAACTCACACTCTTTGGGTCCTCTCACTGGATCTAACTAACGCCTTTATCCACCTGTTAAGGCAGTGGAGAACTTTCAGAGGGGAATTAACAGGAGATAACTGATAAGTGACATCCATTAAACATGGCACAATCTAACTAGAACGGTCTACCCCAGTGAGTGAAATAAAGGGTTCAGTTCGACATTCCAACCACCTGAAGAAGGGTGGAGTGTACAACAGCCGAAACGTTGTAATAAATATGGCAACAAAGATGAGAACGATAGTCCAAATAATGTAAATAATCCCAGATTGTATATTTTATCACATATGAAATTTTTTTTTTTTTCTTCATAACCTGATTTAGACTTCCTAAACTATATTTTCAGCTCTTATCCAAAGTTAAATTTTTGTTTTATCTTTTCTTGTGATGGATTTCATTTTGCCATATTAATTGTTAATCTCTTTGTTATTGATCTTCAGTACATAAGGTTAGTGCGGACATTGAAATTTTATGGTTATATTCACTTTCGGCCCTGCATAACTGACTATCCAGAACCAAATACTCTGGTGTTGTTGGCTGTTGGAAACAAGGAACTGAACTTCCGGATTCAGACGGGCAAGGTACGTTTCCATTAATGGGTAGCAATGAGACACTTTCATTTTTTTTCCCTGACTTAGAATATCCTATTCAGAAACTTAGATCTTTGTTTAGAATCTTTCTTGTTTTATTATTACCTCCCAAGCAAGGCAACAAAGCCACTAAGTCGCACTGAATGTGAAAGAATATAAGAAAAAGAAAAACAGTAAAGAGAAAGAACAATAAGAGAACAGAAATTAAGAAGACAGAAGGGAACAATTGACATTGTATTTAAATATTTAAAGATCAAAGTTGGCTGACAAGCATGAAGCTGGAAGAGAATTCTGCAAGCGAGATGTGCAATAGAAGAAACAGCATAAAAATTATGGTTGCATCATCTACCTATTTCAACTGTAAAATGACGGAGACTTTGGGTGGAAACCTCATACTGTGCATAAATTCATAAAGTCTAGGTACCATAGAGGAAAGTTCAAAGGAACAATTATCATGAAAGTATTTATAGAAAAAGATGCAGGGAGGTGTATTTACAGTGGTGGGAAAGTGACTGAAGCTGAGATGTCACGTCAGGACCAATAACATTGCAGATTCTTCTTTGGAATTTAAGAATCTCTAAATATATAGCAAGAGTACCAGACCAGATGTGGCAGTAATATTCAAAGATAGGACGAATGGTAGACTTATAAATATATAAGATAGATTCTGGGGAGTAAAATTGTCTAGTATGACACAAGGAACCAACTTTCCTAGTAGCAGACCTAGCAATTGATTTAGTCTGCAATTTTAATGAGAATGTTTTTGTATATGTAATTCTGAGGAAATCTTGAAATATCCTTATTGTTTTATTTGTAAAGAAAAAAATTTTTTTTTTTTTTTTTTTTTTTTTTTTCTTAGGACCAATACAAAGAAGGTTCCTTTAAAATCACCAGAATGCGATGCTGGAGGATAACAACCATAGTGAGTCTTTATTTGTGTTTTTCCTAACAAATTGTTGTTTGCATGCCGCATTCTGACCAGTTTGTATTGCCATCAACAACAAATAGTGATAATTATTTTTACTTTTCCTTCATCGTAAAACAAAATCCTCTCATGAGATACAATGAAAAAAAAAACCCTCCCCCAACACTTGTTTATATAATATTTGTGGTATCTATTCCAGTTTCTGCAGTGTAGAATCTTTTCTCTTGGAATTGTCTAATTTAAATTCTTCTGATCTTCCAAAATTTAAATGCAATGTCAATCGTTATCTACTGTCTTCTTGATTCCTCTTCCTTTATTGTTCTCACTTCTCGCCAGTGGAACTCTCTACTGGCTTCTTGATTCCTCTTCCAAAAGTAAAATATACTTTTCTGAAACTTTATTTGAGGAATATCAGCTGATTTAAATTATAATTAATCTGGTTTAAAAAAAAAAGTATTATTTATTTTAAGTTTAAATAATATAGAAATGTATTTTTAAAACAAAACAGTAGCTGTTTTTTAACCAACATTACTGTGTTTTATATAATTGATACAGTGTTGACAGGACTTTGCATAATTATTGTTGTTCTATGGAGAATTTATCCATTAAAACATAATTTAAGAAAATGACATGAGCGCCTTTTTTTTTTTTTTTTATAATTTTTAAGTACTTGGTAATCTTGAAAATGTTGAAAAATATTCTTTGTAATCTAATTTTAAGACTATTGACTTTAAATTTACTATAGTCATCATTCTTATTTTCTGATAATGTCATGTATGATCAACCATGCTTTCAAAAATGGGCACATCACGTAATATTTTATATACATAAAAAAAAAATGTAAAAATTATTTTTAAAATCTTGGTGCAAAATGATTTGTATGAAGCTTTTCAATTTTTGATTAGTAAATATAGTTTTCACTTAATAACAATATCACCCAACCATATGAAAGTAATGCAGAATTTCAAAAGATTTATATTATAAATTATTATAATTAAAAAATTTAAAAAAAAGTGACAACATTTCTTGTAAAAATTCATTATTCATCAAAAAAAAAAATTTTTTCTCAAGACAATAGTGTCATTAATAAATCTTATTTATAAAAGCAATTAAAAGCTTTTCTAATTAAATAATATCATAGTTTTATCGTGTTTTTTATTTTATGATTCAGAGCAGATTTTCATGTGTAGTAGTTTGGAAATGAAACTTTAATTTCTCAAAATTTCATGAAATTAAGTAAGTTGGGGGTAATATATACATATATATATATATAAAAAATATTTTTTACCAAGACTTTAAACTTCAATCTTCCATGAATCTCTCACGTACATTCATATCTGCTCAAAGCGTATCCAAATGTAAACAAATGACGTCACACATTATGAAATGAACAAAGTCCGACAATTATTTTAAGACATTTTTATGTTTATACATTCGTTTTTATAGATACAAATATTAAAGTAAATGCTCTGTTTTATAATAAGCAGTAAAGGCAATAAAATCGACCTTGCTAACCAAACGCTCCTCTGTGGCCAAATCGGTTAAAGGCATGTCAAGCTATATGATGGTTCCGTAGAGGATACAGGTTCGATTCCTATCAGAGGACGAAAATTTTCTATGAAAATTTCTCAGACATTCAGGCTGGTAAATGTTGTTTAATACTGTTTATTCTAAACAGAGCATTTACTTAAATATTTGTATCTATAAAAAGAATGTATAAACATAAAAATGTCTTAAAATAATTGTTGAACTTTGTCCATTTCATAAAAATGCTTTTGTGTTTGTTGTTACTAAGAGACGAAATGTGATTGATTGTTTACCGCTTTTGTTATGTCTACCATTTGTGTTATCCATGTTGCTAGAGACAAGTTGAAGTACTGTAATTGTTGCATGCTTGTTGTCTGTCATAGCATTAGCACTTGACTGCTCAGTCAATGAATATTAAATGTTTTTACATAAGAAAACAGTTAATATTATCATTAACAATGCATTGTATAAGAAAGTTCCACTTCAGGTCCATAGTGCACTATGGCCCTAATAGGAATTTAGGGCATGGTAATCATTTTTAGACGTTTTGCTTTTATTAATTTTTTTTTTTTTAATACTTTGAGTTTGGGATTAAAAGAAGTAAATTCTTTCATTTTATTTTCCCACTTTCTTTCCAAAGTATCCGGACAGAGACAACAATTCTAATAAAGACAACAAGCCACAACTGGAAATTTCATTTGAATATCTTCTTTCTAAAGACAAATTGCAATGGATCAACATTAAAAGCGGTCAGGTAAGGTTCTTCACTCTACCTTTCTTCTAAAAACAAATTTTAGCAGCAGGGAGAAAGGAACATTGATACATGTAAGGGAAGTAACTTAGATTTTTCAGGTAAGGGAGATAATTTGGTTAGATTTTCGTTATCCGCTGTTGATAGCTTTCTCACGGATAATGGAATCCAGATATATTAGTGAATCGTCTCGGTATGTCCCAAAATTTTCACCTGGAAATCACACTTTGATGCAGCACATTGCTATCAATTGGAATGTTTTCTCTTCAAATTTTGTTGTAGGGGAGCAATATTAAATTAATCAAACTGTCATCCGAGGACGTTTTTATGTGGAACCCCGTAAAAAAATTGTAGAAAAAATTCAAAAGACTTAAGTAGTATCACAAAAATTTCATGAACAGTTCCATCTGCCTAACTTCACTCACAAGTCTTGGGTCAACCTGTGGTATATTTTTCAGGCACCTTTCCAGAGGTTCCGCACTCAGGGATAGCCTCTGCCAGGTTGATAACATCAAGTTGTCACCTTTCTGACAAATCAACCCTGTTGAGATTTGAGCCTGGGTTTTATGATGATTTTCTAAGTGTGGCTTAGATGTGACACAAGGCTAAAAGTATGGGGTACCCATTGACCTTCGAATTCCTTACTCAGTCGTAATTGTTCTAGCAAGACGTCACATCGAGTGAATGCTCTGACCACTATTATTTCCAGATTATGTCTGCTTTTTTCATTTATATTTTTCAAAATAGTTTCAGTTTATTAAAAGTTTTTCTGAATCAGCCACCCATGGATATGTGAAACTGCAGATGGTGACACATTTGCATCTTGCAATTCCACAGATGGTGAGGGCCTACTATAGAGTAATTAAATTACTGAATAATCATTAATTAGAAAATAAAAATCAAAAAAAAGCATTCCAGTTGAGAATATCCAACAGAAGGATTTTGGGTGCTATTACACTTTTGCACCCCCCCTTTTCATATGGCTCCCTAGGCCTCACATTAAAGCGCAACTCTTTTACACAATGCCTACATATTTTCAGACCATCCTCAATGTAGTTAATAATGTTGCGGTTCATGTGACGTTGCTGGTAACTTTTGAGGCCTGCTTTACTTAGGCCTTTACCATATTGAAGACATATGAGATCACATTCAATGCCGACATATGCTGGGAGTTTAACATTTTTGCCTTTTCTGAAATCTCTTTTCAACTACTGATGCTTCGTTGTCTGATCTTCAAATGCACTTGCACCTACTCTCAAGGAACGCCTCCAGCTGCCACTATCCAAAGAATCATTCTACAAGTCCTCAAATGCAATTGGTGCATTTATTAGTGATTGCTTCAAGCAATCTTTGCATATATGTGCACACATTTTTTTTTTTTTTAATCAGAATCACCTCGAGCAATACCACCAGAAGACAAGGGTTTATAAGGTGTGGAAGAATTAGGAACAGAAACATTAATGATGAGCAGAAAGAGAAAAGAGTAAACAGGTGGGCAGAAGATAGCGATTGACATTGCATTTAAATTTTTGCAGATTAAATTTGGCTGGAAAGCAAGGAGCCAGAAGGGAGTTCCACAAGCAAGAAGTGTGAGAAAAGAAACTGTTAGCATAAAAGTTACAGCTACATCTCGCCAGCACAACTGTAAATTGATGAGATCTCAACACCAGTCTAGAGCTGCACTTAAATTAAAAAACTCTAGTGAAGAACTCAGCCAAACAATTACCATGAAAGTATCTATAGAAAAGACACAGAGAGGCAACCTTACGGCGGTGGGCAAATGACTGGAGCTGAGCCACCAGATCTGGACCAATAATATTGCTGATTTTTTCTTTGTCTCTTATCAAGGTAAATAGCAGGGGCACCGGACCATATGTGGCAGCAATATTCTAAGCATGGATGAATGGTAGACTTATAGATATGTAAGAGAGATTCTAGAGAGAAAAATTGTCTCACCTGACATAGTGAACCGACTTTCTTAGCAGCTGACCTAGCAATGGATTCAATATAGTCTTTCCACTTCATGTTAACTGAGAACATGAGAGCTTGAGAAGGCACACCAAGTCACTTTCCTAAAAGATAACATTAGCCGTGCTGAGGGAAGGCAACGAAGGGTCTCCCAGATGATTAATCGAGAGAACTTTAGTTTTGTAGGTGTTAAAATTAACAAACCATCTTTTGCCCCTCGTTTTGGACAGCGGCTGCCATTTTGACCTCGTCAGCCTGATAAGCCTTACTTATTGAGGCAAGAGTAAATTGTTGTGTTGTCAGCATAGATACCAAGTTGAAAGCTGATGTCATCAGGAAAGTAATTAATGAAAATTAAAAATAGAATAGGACCCAGGATGAAGCCCTGGGGGAGACCTGCATTAGTACGAAAGGATCTAGACAAATAGCTGTTCATGATAACTCTCATTTCACGATTTGAGAGTAATGACTGGATCAGTTCAAAAATATGTCCGGAGGCACCTTAAGTTTTCAGCTTGTGGAGAAGACCTAAATGCATGCCAATATGTCCAATGCAACAGCCCGAGATTCACAGTGTGTGTTTTTTTATTTTTAGAGCCTGATAAACCCTTTCTGCATATGTCGTCAGTACATCAGCAGTTGGCCTGGAAAAAAACAAAAGCCATTTTGCTTGTCTGAGAAACGGCCTTGTGATGAGAGATGATGAACCAATTCAGCATTGATTAGGATCCCAAGAAGTTTCTCAAAAAGAGGTAGAAAGCTAATGGGTTGATAGTTGGAAGGATCAGATGGCTTACCAGAGTTCTTAAAAACTGGAACAGTAGATGATGACTTGCACGAGACCGCAAGGCATTTATTATACAGTTTAGAAAAAATACAAAAATAGAAAGCTACAAAAAACAGGAAATTGTGGAGAGCCATGATCGCCAACATCCTGAGGAGACACAGCATATAGAAGTGAGATTATCAGCTAAAAATGCAGTGACTTTTTTTTTTTTTTTGTATTCACAACTTTCTACTGAAATGTCAGTGCAGCCAATCATCATACCCCTCCCAAATTCACTGATGTTGGATTTAAAATGACTGACCATGTGGCATGGGGGAGTAATGGATATTGGCTCAGCTTGAGGAATCTGAGAGCCAAATTCAAATTCCATTCGAATCCATTACATTCACTTAGATACTAATACCCTTGGTAAAAGGTATGAATCCCCCTCTTCTCCCCCCAGCTATGGATAAATAGCAGGACAGACTGGGTTCAATAGCCTTGGATGGCAACTGATCTACTGCAGGAAAAATCTGCCTCAAAAGGAAAAGATCAAAAGATACATGATCACCTGGCACCTGATTGACTGACCGACCATGTGGCAATGTTAAATGGGGACTTCAGCAGGAAAGACAAGCTGATATTATCCAATCTGAAACGGTTGGTGTTCTTTAGTTGTTAACTTTGTGCTGAGAAAGAAATCTGTTGTATCTTACTGACACATGTCCCTTAAATTGATTTGCAATCTGAGTCCAAAGTTTATGCCAAGGGTCGGCAACCTACGGGCCGGATCCGGCCCGCGAAGGCATTTTGCCCGCGAGCCTGATTGCCAATGACTCTATTTTTAACATGAGAGACGACCTTCAAATGAAATTTGTTATATGTCATTTTCCATAGAATGTCTATACACATCTCAGTGTACTAAAAATATTAGACTATCTGCCAGTTATCTTTCATGAGACTTATTTTACCAAGTTGCGTTGCCTACGTTTAATGTCAAATAATGGATAGATATTTGTTATGACCCTTGGCTACATTAAAAGGTAACAGAAGCGAAAGGAACGCTAAAGTGAAAGAGGCCAGGGAGGGACTGACATGCGAGGTAGCAGAAATCTAAAGAGTTAAACATATGCGCATTATACATACATGCCTCATGAATGTGGATGATACCGCATGTGTACGTACGTAAGTGTATATGTTTGTAACTATTTGTACTCGTATGTATGGGTATATGTGTTTCGTTTTTGTTTGATGTGTGTATGTGTGTGTGTGTGTGGTTCGTTTGTGGAACAATTTTCAATAACAGTTTCAAACCTACACGTCATAATTTCATCCATTTCACTTCAGTTGATTTTTTTCACTTTGAAGTATTTTGACGTTCCTTGAGAAAAAGTAATTTTTATTAGGTGTTTTTTAATTTTAGATTTTCTTTTGTTTTTCTGATTTCTCAATGCTTATTTTCATTATGGTTTTAAATAGTTAGGTTGACAGGGGTCTGCATATGTAATTTTCCTTAATTTTTCATTAATGGCCTTCTTCCGGCCCGCGACACGTCATTATAACACGATCTGGCCCGCAGGGTTGAATGAGTTGCCGACCCTTAGTTTATGCTTTTGTCAATGCAGGCAACCATTTTTAACAGGATTGTTGTGCACCTTTTTTCTCATATGATATTTTTTCCATATATACATTTTGGGGACATTGTTTTGTGGAATCACACCTATTACACGTTTTTTAGGGACATGATACCACTTCGTAAAATATTCCAACATTAAAAAATAAAAATTATTTTTGTCTTTCAGGCAATTTTAGTGAGCATGTGTTTACAGGCCATGGTCGATGAATTAATTATGAAGAAAGAAGGAAAGAAAATCAAAAGGGTAAATTTAAAAAAAATTTTTTTTTAATTTATCTTTAATGTTTAATTTGATATTATTTTTATTTAGGTAGCTGGGATAATGATATTAATTAACTAGGATAGTTGCAAAATTATATTTAAAAAAAAAAAAAAGACCCTCACATTATATTCAAGTAATTTTTACAGTTATGTTCCAAATAGAAAAAAATCTCAAACATAATAAAAAAATTAAACACACTAACCTTGTTGGTTGAATTTAATAAAACTTTATCAAATGAATTCACACACACACACATTTATTTACATTTAGAATAAAAAATGGAGCAGATATGAGCTTTTGAGAAAACTCTGGAGGAGGAAGTGTGTAAAGCACACCAGATCAAATGGTGGTTTCTACTAAAAAGAGAGATGCAGGTTTCAAACCCTGCTGGAGAGCTCATTTTCTTTAAGATTTCTTGAATGCACCGACATAATACACACTGTTTAAAGGAAAAATAAAAATGCAGCATCTATTTTAAATGTAAGTATCCACCATAATAACATAATAACATTTATATAAGTATATATATATATATATATATATATATATATATGATTAATACAAAGGTGATCCACTTGTGCTTCTTATATGTAGATTTAATAGGCTGGTTAACAAAATTTGAAAAATAAAGAAGCCAACAAAATGATACCAATATTGTCAATAAAATTGATATTTATTATATTCCTTAGAAGAGCAAGTCCCACTTCTTTGCTTATTCCTCATATCGTTGAAAAAGGAAACATGCGTGTTCGAAAATTCTGACATTAAAATCTTTCTCTTCGTGCTTCAATTCATTTAAAAGGTTAATATGTAATAAATATCAATTTTATTGACAATATTAGTATCATTATGTTTTCTTTTTATATTTCAAATTTTGTGATCCAGCCTATTAAATTTACATCAACACACACACACAGCACAGATATATATATATATATATATATATATATATATATATATATATAATATAAGGTAATCAAAGTGTTTGGTATATAATCTGCGTGGATCCTAGTAATATTAATCATTAAAACTGATCCACACAGAGCTTGATGTTTTTATTTTAACAGAGCTTGATGTTTTTTTTTAACAGAGCATATGTATTTTTACAGCCAAAATATAAATATATAAAATTATATATATATATATATATATATATATATATATATATATATATATATATCCAAAATAAAAAGAACAAAGAATAAAATTCAAACATTTAAGACATTAATTTAAAACAGGGCTCAATATAAAAGTAGAGCCATAAATATTTATTATACACTGTTACATTAGAACATGTAAGTTACTACAAAATTGTACATTTTGTTTCGACATTTAAATGTAACATCTCTTCAGTTAGTTAACAATGATGGTAATAAACGATTTTATTTAAAATTGCAATTTATGAAACATCACTGTTTTTGGATAATTTTCCATACAAGGTAAAAAGGATGATTATATAAAGAAAAAGGAAAGAAAATAAGAAATCAACAAAAGGAAAAGAAAAAAGAAGAAAACATTAATTTAAAACAGGGTTCAATACAAAAGTAGAGCAAGAAATATTTATTATAAACTGTTACATTAGAACACGCATGTTATTACTTAAGTACTAATTTACATGTTCTAATGTAACAGTTTATTATATATATATATATATATATATATATATATATATATATATATAAACTTATAGATATTTTTATTTTTACAAAATAGTGCTCAATGTAAATTTACAGAGCATTAATATTATAAATTAATTGATTTAAAATATAGTGTTTTTTTTTTTCGCTACACAGTTTTAACCATGTTTCAAAAATGGAAGCTTTGAATTTAATTTTGTAATTAAATTAAAGACATTAGTTCCATTTCATCCACAAGCGAATTTTGGAGTAACTTTTAAAATTACTGGGTTTTAAAGGCACAGCAAAAAATCCTAATTCACGTTTTCAAGGATACAGAGAAATCTATTCATCCAGACAAGGGGTGTTTGCGTGTTCATTATCTCTGTATTTTGATGTATCAGTTATTAGTTACGTTTTGATAGGGGTAGGGATGTATTTTTCAATGAATTCTGATATCCATTAAATGCATGTCGTCTGAATTTTTTAAAAAATCTATTGTTGACGGCAAAAATTCTTATGGCATTTTTTTCTATTTGTATACTTAAAGATTTTTGGGGTGTGTTTAGCTTAGAATACGTTTTATTTAACTACGATTTTAAAAAAAACTTTCACTTTTAATTTTTAATATACTATATTTCTTTTTAAAACGAGTAAATGTATTAGAATCACTTACAGTATGTAAAATTATTTTCACATATATATATATATATATATATATATATATACACACACACATGCACACTGTTTCATTAGGGATTGATGAAAAAGGATTTAAAAGAATTTTATAAACAAATGCATTGAACTTAATGTTATTTTTCTTATATTTTCTCGCCTCCTTAAAAAAAAAAAGCCTTGTGACCGAATCCGTTGTTCCCGAGGATACTATTTGAACCGTGACAGTAAATCTCCAATTATCAATTCCAATCAAAATATGAGCCACAGTAACAGTGAGGTGAGTGATATTTGCTTTTAGTCTTTTTATTTCTCATTTCTTCACTATTGGTTTTTTTTTTGGGGGGGGGTTACTTCAAGTCACAACCTGCTTGAAAACAGTTTTAGTTTCATATAAATCACAAAACACTTACATAGCAATATCGTCTGCAGTGTACACTGCCCCTTTTCTGCATAAGTGAAGTAAGTGTAGATTTTGTATGTTGAGGTAATGGAGATTTTACAATCAAAATTTCCTCATTTGCAAATGTCTGATTTGTTTCAGCTGAATGCTTGTAGGAAAACTATACACTCTTACCAAATTCCTGTCCTACAAAAGAAAAGTTCTCATAGAGATTCTCTTAACTCCCTGAAATTTCTGTATAAACAGCATTTTTAGCAAAACCTCTAATTTCTAAAGTTCTTTCTGTTATTATCCTTAGTCCAATTGTATTTCCGGCTCCAGACATAACTACATCAAAATGACCGTGAGAGAAACATTTAATTGTCCAGCGTTAATAATAATAAATTCAGTAAGCTTACTATTTTTTCAATTGTTTAAATAATTTGCTGCAGTTTTAAGAAAATCAAATTAAACAGATTATTTTGATTGACTTAGATAATTCCATAAATTTATTTTCAATTCCATTTAACTAATTTGCATTAATGTGAAATAGCAGATGACAACAATGTTTATTATTAATGCGTGCAGGTTTCTAACTTATAATTGAATTTTCACAAATTATATAAATTAAATGTTATCACTAATATTGTGAATGCCATTTGTTAGTAATAAATATATATATATATATATATATATATATATAATAAGCAACTCCTAAAGGAATCTGCTACAGAAACAAACTGAAGAGAGTTCAATGACATATTAAATGGCAGTGCCTTAATATTTCACAAAAAAAGGAAAAGAACAGTGATGTGTTTTGAACTTCAGTGGACTAAATTTGTTGTGTTGGTAGAACTACACATGAGCATGGCAGAGAAATGCAGGCAATTTTTTTTTTTATCAGCCAAATACATTTAGATTCTTTTTTTTTTCTATTTCTTTCCATTACTTTTATAAGTAGATACTGTACACAGATATTAGAAGATCTACCAGGAATGGTAAAATATTGTATTCTAGCTCTTACCATATTTCATCATTCCTGGCAGATATTCTAATATCACAGTGTGGAATACCTACCTACAAAAGTGATGGAAAGAAAAAGAAAAGACTCTAAATGTATTTGGCTGATTTTTAAAAAAAAAAAAAAAAAAAAAATTTCCCAGAACCCCTCTGGCATGCGCATGTGTAGTTTGAGCAACATAAGAAATTTAGTCTAATGAAGGACGAAACATGTCACAAGTAAAGTTTTTTTTCCAATTTCATACAATATTATTCTTGATATCTAAAAATATATATTATGCTCCTTACTTTTGGCCTTGTGCCACAGCTAATCTACACTTAGTAAATCACTATATAAAGGATGTGGCACAAATACTTACCACATAATGGTTAGAGGTATAACTGAGGTATTTCTGCCACACCCTGTTTGTGTGTGTGTGTATATATATATATATATATATATATATATATATATATATATATATATATATATATATATATATATATATATATATATATATATGGCTAAATATTCATTACACATTAATACAAGCTATTTTGTTCTACTGATGTAAGGTGCGGACACAATGACGAAATTTAGCTTTACATCAATTGACAAAAGCTAACGAAAAGACTTACTTCCCTCTTATCAAAAATGACTCATTCTGAAAAATTTTGAAAATGCCACTTACTTCCATTTTCTAGATTTGAGCAGAACACTCCACTACCATATTTTCTTGTGCATAACACGAGAAATTTTGTACGAAAATTAAAGTGGGGTCTTATTAACCCTAACCCATTTCCAGAAATTTTTGCTCTGCTTAAAAAACTTCTTATTTGAAGCAGCAAGATTTCATCTACACTTAGTTAACACAATGGATAAAAAAAACACAAAGTAAGCAGGTGTTTACAAACAATTGTTTACAAAAGGTATATGACATATCAGCAATATTTGTTTCACTCTTCATTCTTAATGAAAGACAATATTTTTTTTATTTTCATAGAGTTTATTAATATATAGAAATTAAATAGTGTCATATCAAGCAGAAAAGATTGACAGATTAATTAACACCATAAATTGTATTACCGGGTATGTCTAGTTAGCACCTTTCTTCCGAAAATTCAAAAGTAAGTTTTGTAACAGAAATTAGAAGAAGAAACAAATAATAGTTAAACATCCGATTCCTTTCTATTCTTTAATATTGTGAAAAATTAAATATTTTAGAGCCATTAAGATTTTAATAGGTGATATGGTACAACTTTTCAAAAAGAATTTACAGAGGGATGGTTGTACTACATGGTCTTATTGTACTCAAGGATGTAATTTAATCCCTATTTTTATCTTCACAAACACAGTCATATTATACACAAGGTCATATGGCAGTTCAATCAGTTTTGATCAAAACTTATCTTCAAAATATGGTTTAAATTACATGGCAACTGAGAGTTCCTTGATCAGGTTAAATTTCAATTTACAAAATACAGAAATAATAATACTGCCTCTAGTTTTTGAAAAAGTCATTGTCATTCAAAGCGATTGTTAAATAATCTGGTGACAGGGCACAATTTTTTTATGGCTTTAAAAGAAAATGGACATTTTAAACGTGTATATATAAATATATACAAAAATATATGAAACAAGGTGAAAGAAGGCTAAGAAAAAAATTACTGTAAATTGCTGGATCAAAAAAACAAAAACAAAAAATGGCTAACCAGTTATCACTCTTTTGAGCACAAAAACGTAATAAATATATATATATATATATATATATATATATATGCCATATTCCATCAGTAAGAATGAAATTCCAAGCAGACAACTTCCTTCCAAGAATGGTTTCTTTGAACAGCAGATCTTGACCTCTTCAAGTCTTTGGGTCAACTTCTGCCTTATATATCCTCATAATATACACTTCTTACTCCTTCCTTGTATGCACTTACAACAACTTCATTCAGTAGTGCCCTACCTTGAGTGGCTCTTGGGCCTTGTATTGGATGAACAGTAGTTACAAAGAAAAGAAAAATTATTTTTTAAGGCCTTAATAGATTTCAATTATGTAGTAATAATATATATTAGTATATGGTCCATTGTTAAAAATGGTCAGCTTCTGGTACCACTTCAGAAAGTACCTGACTCTTACTGCCATGCTCTACCTTTACAAGAGCCAGATCTGACCAGTAATGGAGTATGTGGTCTCTTGAATTTGAAGGTCATCTGTTATCTATCCCACATATTCTCATACTATGCAACCCTTTCTACCTCCCTTTATGGCCTTACAACATTCCCATTTAGTAAGCTTCTACCTTGAGTGGTTCTTGAATGAATAAAAAAAGCCTTAATTGATTTCACTTGTGTTATAATGACATTATCAATGTCTGTATCCAAATTCTGATGATTTTGCTTTTTTGATAGTCTCTGTATTTTGATGATATTGATCTTTGTCATTGTTTATAATAAAACAAACCATTTCTTTTTCCATACAGCCAACTGGATTATACGTGTACTCCGAACTCTTAGAAGTATGTTTCTGACTCCTCTTTCTCTGTTGTAGCTGCATGTTCTGTCTGTCTCTCTTTTTCTCTAGTGGACCCACAATGCCCTAATATTCTAAACCAGGGGTCCGCTACCTGCATGCTCTGCTTTTCATGCCTGATATCAAATTGGTTCCTTAATTCAACTATTTTTTTTTTTTTCTAGTTATCCAACACAAAAACAAAATCTGGTCACTATCTCCAGATATGAAACACTTGTTCTTTTCTTACAATCAGTCAAAATGCACTCAGATGTTTAGCTCCAATAGGAAGGCTGGAACTACAAAGCAAAGGTTTATTTGTCTGAGCCAGGTTGTTTTTTTAAAAATTAAAGAAAAAGATCTCTCAGCGCCATCAAATATATATATATCTTTGGTATCCCTCAAAATATATCTGTATTAATAAATCTAGCAATATTACAGTTGCATGGAAGCTGCTGTTTTAACTTAAAGAAAAAAAAAAAAAAGGAAATAATGTCTATAAAAAAAAAAGGGGGCAAACATGGACCTTCATACCCACAAAAAAGTGAAGTGTCAAAAGGACAGTTTACCCCTTGATGCTGCTATTATTTTAATTACCTTCACTCCTTGACAATGTTTATTGTTTTAAAAAGCAATGATTAGAATTATAATAAAGCCTAAATATATATTTAAATGAATTTTCTTTGTTCTTGAGAATTGACTACAAAAACAATAAACACTATTTATTAGATTGTTTATTGGAATGGTTAGCAAAACATTGGCTAATTGCCAATTGATCAAACTTAATAAATGGTAAATAATAAGGATTTCCTTAGAGTTGGTTCACATATTTTAATAATTTTGTAAATGTTTATAAATTTATGAATAAAAATGTTTTCATATTTATTTCTTTATAAAATAATAAATATTGCATTAGTTTTAACTGTAGTTTTTAGAATATTGTAAATATTAAAATATTCTTATAAATAAAAAATTTAATAAATCAAACAGAAAAAAATGCATAACTTCAATTTTATCTGTTCAGATTTTATTACAATTCTAATCATCGCTTTTTAAAACGAACATTTGTGACGTGTGAAGTTAGTTAAAATAAAAGCTGTGTCAAGAGAAAAAAATGTCCTTTTAACACTCCGCTTTTCTTTTCTTTTATGTTTTTGTGGGCTTGAAGATCTGTTTGCCAAAAAAAGGGTTCTTTTTTTTTTTTTTTTTTTTTTTTTTTTTTTTCTTTAGTGTAGTTCTCATTTGCCTTTATCATTTGAAATCGTGTCGGCTATCTGCTTATCTTTCAACTCCAGCATATATCTCGGATATACTGCTGTATATATGCAATGAAAATGCTTCCCTCTTCCTTATCAATGTTAGCAAAGAATTCTTGTTCACTTATAC